TGATCTTAGCATGAATGCTGAAGAAATTGTAGTTAATTAAAAATCATAGTTATGCACTCAAGAGGAATTAGCTCTGAATATACTTTGTATAAATTTATTAGCATCTGCACTATTCACAAGGCTAATAGTTATTTCTGTTGAGCTGGGCTAAACTACAGTAATTTACTAATTTTTGAGATACTTAAATCTTCTCAAGTTTAGCAAATATTCATACTGTGTCCAACTAGACATCACATGAAAGATTCTAAATGTTGTGTATTTTGTAATATGATCACATATTTTGAACTCTATCCACCTTTAGTACATCTGTCTGAAAAGAAAGCAGTGACAAAACTTATTAATAGTGGTTGTACAACTTCTAAAGACAGTGTGATATCTCATTAATTTTTATTTAATTAGAGTTAGATTAGCTGACAAATTGAAACACTGCCTAGAGTTGTGACCAGACAGTGAAAACTCAGAGATGAGGATCACACTAAACTGAACTAGATGAGCATGTATTAAATAAGCAAGGTAGAAGGAGATGGCTAGATTTAGGTATAAGAAATAATAAGAGAGTGAGAGCAGATAATGATGAAAGATCCACAGGATAAAGTTAATGTGGCTTCAATGTAGTACAAATAAGGTACAATATGATGAGTAACTATGTGTCATAAGCAGCAGGCTTACATCCTTACATCCTCTGTGTAATTAAAGAAGGAGCATGGGGTGAGGTAAAGAGAATGAATGTGAGCAAGGAATAAGATAAAAAGGAAAGTAAGAGAAAGTACTTTGTAGCACCAAGGGAACAGCCTGCAAATTGGTGCATCAAAACCCTGTGAGAAAAAGCTATTGAGTGAGACCATTACCACTCTAAGTCAACTAAACATCCAATGCTGTGCAGTCTTTGCAGTCATGACATAGTAGCCAATAATTGTCTTTGGAGTCATACTCAGCTCATCTAATAAGGAATTGCCATTTACAGCCAAGTAGGAGTCGAGGATCTTGTTGACTGTGCATTCTTTCAAATCTTCTGCAGAGAGTACAGGGCCTGGATGTTTAAGTTTGCTGCTGGAGAATAAGAGGGGATCATTATATTTATGTCACTTCAGTTCAGATGCGTGGAAGGTGAAGAAAGTGTGGAGACTGTTAGGAAGCAGCAGAGTACAGTTTGAAGTTTCAGGGCATGTAACTGTCACTGTGAAGGGACTGTCTCACTGTGAAGGGACTGTCTCACTGTGAAGGGACTGTCTCACTGTGAGAACTTTGCTGCCTGATAGAATCTCTTCTTTTTGAAGGTAGTTTAGTGATGAAAGATAAAGAGTCAAATCTTGTTGCTCACTGTAAAAATATTATTGGGCCCACATGTGACATTGGTGAAGCGCACCTAACATATTTTGCCCTGCATCATATTATCTCATGCCTCACCCATGTCAAGCTCAATGGATACCATTATGTTGATAGCAAGGTGCACAAGTGATTCTGAAAAGATGTCAGAGAGTGCATTTGATATGACAGGATAATGAGGCAGGGAGATCACTCAAGTCTTAAGTTAGAAATTAGAGAAATCAGTAAATCTGTTAAGCAAATTCATTATGTCAAAGTGTTTGTAAAATAGCACACAGAACCCAGTCACACTGGGTTCAATGGATATGATAGCGTAAAGCCTGATTAACAGTTTTGTTTGTATATTCACTAAGACTGTTGATATGATAATGATAAGTAGATAGCTTCAGTTTTTACCCAGTGAGCTTATGCACCTTGGTCCAGATGCAGGAAGTGAACAATTTGTCATAATCAGAGATGATGTTGAATAACATGCCATTGACATAGTCTCACTGATTAAAGAATAATACAAAGAGCCCTGAGGCAGTAATGTTCGTGCAATTTGACAGAATGCACACATCAGAGTGAATGTGATCAGTGATAAAGAGAATATAATCATACCCTTCATCTTCGGGCAGAAGCCTGATCAAATTCAAGGCTACTGATATGTCCTATTTATCAGGGCCTGGCAGGAGGTGAAAAGAACTAGCAACCTTCATTATGCAAAACTTGTTTATTGACATTTAATATAAGAGAGTGTGACATTCCCCAAAAGCTCTGCACAAATAGTACTTATCTACACCACAATAATGTGAGGAGTCATGTACTATCAGTTTATATAGTGCTAGGCTCAATATAAAGTTATAGTGAGTTTAAGATAATAAAATTAATTTATAAGCTTAGCAACTTATATAAGAAGTAATAAACATTAAATTTGAACAACTAAACTAAATAATGTCACTAATATATGTATATATAAAGCTGGGCTCACTATAAGTTTATATTGTGCTAGGCTCAATACAAATTTATAGTGAGTTTAGCTGAATAAAATTATTTTATGAGCTTAACAACTTAGATAAGAAGTAGAAAACATTGAATTCTAAGAACTAAGGTGAAGAAAAGCATAACAACCAAGGAAAGCTCATAAAATCTTTACTACTTAAACTCAATTTACTATGTAAGAAAGTATATAGATCAGGCTCAAGTTCATTTATGTCTACTTTTGGGTCAGTGAACGAGATAACACAATGAAGAGCGCACCTTCATTTCGAGCCAGACATCCGGGATCAAAAGTAGATGTCTGGAAGGCCGGAGAATGGTCAGTCAAAAGTAATGCATAGAACTGGAGGCAAACCACGATTCGGCGCGAGTTGGTTTCCCCCGCCACCCGGAGGCAACGGGGTACTTATCCCGAGGACCACGTAAAGGTCCGCGCCCGGACAGCAGCTGCATCGCAAGTGCTGCCCGTCCTCGGGACGCACCTGATGTGATTGAGGGTATTTCAACGCGCTTATCTGGCGACCCTGCACAACGACATTGTCAGTAAAAGTGCCGACAGAACGAACTTGCTGCAAATCTCACCTTCTCTTGCATTGATGACAACCGCACCGCAAGGCTAGCACAAACTGCAACCAACACCGAACGAAAAGCGACCTGCCGACCAGTCACAGAGAGCCATTGTGATGCGCAGAGGGCAAAAAACGCCCGCATCATTGCACACCGACTCTCCGTCGATCTCGCCCTTCAGAAGGGTTTACAGTGTCCAACCCCTCGCCGATGCCGACCCGTCGACAGCGAGCACTAGACTGCAGTCAACAAAACCCACGAAGCGATCACTGTTGACCAGTCACGGAAACCGTTGTGCATCGTCATCGATGCACTCCAGTACATCGTCGGTCTCACCCTTGGGGAGGCTTTACAGGATACGCTCGTCGCCGATTCTGATCAACAGCTTGTGCTCGCCTGCAGTCGACATAGAACGAAAGATGACCTGCCGACCACTCACAGGGTGCAGAGGGCAGAAAAATGCCCAGATCATTGCACGCTGGTCTGTGATGATCTCGCCCTTCCGAAGGGTTTACAGGGTCCATGCGCTAATCGCCGATGTTGAGGAACAGCTTGTACTAGCCTTGCAGACGGAATGGCGATAATCCACGGGCACCTACAAAGAGTCGTTAGTGTAAGTGCACGTCGGGGCCATCGACGGCCGTCCTGGAATGTAACAGTCGAACATTAGTCACAAACGAGAGGGAAATAAATCAAATGACGCACCTTGAATTTCGGGTAAGGCTTGAGGTTGGCGCGAGTTGGTTTCGCCCGTCGCACAGGGGCGACGGGGTACTCGTCCCGGGGACCACGAAGAGGTCCGCGCCAGCCCCCGGGGGGTTCGGTCCACGCGATTGTCGACAAGAGTCATGAACACAAAAGGAATAGAAAAAAAGCGGGAGAATGGGAAATGGAAAGAAGAAGAACCAAGTCCCACAGAAGAGAACCGTCGTAAAGAGGCAAGTTTGTCGTCCGACGGAGGAAGTCGTCAGAGGGCATGAATGAAGCTAAGGCCCACCCAACCATCCACCCATCGCAGAAAAAGACACAGTGTTGATGTGGCCACATTGGTGACCACCGTCGCCAGAACTGACATTCAGCCGGATCAACGACGAAGAGGTCGCGCCGTTGTGTTGCCATGCCAGGAGATACAGTTCGTCGACAAGGACGGAGCCCAGTCCAACTTACCAACGAGGTGCCGAGGAGGATGTTGGAGTGGCTACGACGTGGACGGGGGTAGGTTCGTTGAGCATAGGTCGCGAACAACGACGTCGGAGAAGTCTTACCTTTGTTCAACCCTCCTTGAGGTCATACAACACCTTCAGCTTGAGCAAGGTGGTTTGAGGATGTGGAAGACGTTGAGGTTGAGGTTGACGATAGATGATGGAAGACAGAGGGAAAGAGCGATGGGAGAAAGCGCGGTAGACACCAGATTATATACCCAGAAGCCCAACTATCCACGTGGAGGAGCAGAGGCGATGGGGGAAAGAGGGGAGGAACAACTTGGGGGTATTTATACGCTGGAAGCCAAACCGCAGCAGACCAACCCGTGAATTCGATCAAAGCGTAGATCTATTGCTGAGATCGGCCAGATGCATGAGTCAGAGCCCAAGCTGAGCAACAAGCAAAAGCAACGTACGCCATGAGGCAAGACACAATAGGATTTGAAGCCAGATAGGGTTCAGTTCCCATCAGATGGCAACGCTTGCAATTGCGCCGTTTCCATAATTTGGGGCACAATGGTCCTTCCATATAAGGATGAATCCAGCGACTTCCCTTGTTGACGACAACTTTATGGCAGGCCGCCACTCGGACCAGTATCCCCGAGCTGACGTGGTTGCTCTGGTTCACCTCCATGATATCTCTTAGGTGAACATGAGTAGACTTTTTCCGCGAGAAATCCAGAAGACAATTGGGATGTACGATGCGCTGAGTCCCAGGTTGATCGTTGGCGTTGAGTAACTTCTGGCTGAGAACGGAAGTGGCCCGCGGAACTCCGAGGGTGCCGCTACCGGCTACTACTCGGCGAATTGCTGTTCAGAACTCCAACGTTCACTGACTATGATATGTAAGTACGTGCCATTCAGAACGACAGCGACTCCCTGGACACTACTATTACTAGTTCTTCTCCGTTTGTAGTATAAGCAGCTATGCCTCCACTTGCTCTGCCGAACCAAGGACCTCTCCCGCTTCCCGCACCACCTTCCGAACCTCCTACCGACGATGACTATTTCAATGCATTTGATTATCGCAGACTAATAGAGCAGGGAAAATGTGCGTACCGGCCTGCTGCACTTCAGCTGATGACTGAAGCTACCAAAGTATCACGCGATGCCCGCGTAACATCAACTCACCTTGTTGAGGCGCGTCTCTACGAGGAGAAGGTGTTAGTGGCGCGCTCCGCTGACGGTCAGCATTCATTTCCTATATCCCCGTCCATGTAAGCTGAAGACGGTGTGCTGGTGCTCCTGAAGTGGCGCCTCCATGGCTCGCAGGTGCCTTGCAGCCTCTCTTTGACACAAACGCGCGCATTGAAGCTCGTCTTGGTCGTATGGAGGCACGCCTTGATCGCATGGAGGCACGCCTTGGTCCCATCCAAAGAGTAGGTGCCAAGGTGTGTGTTTCATCTGCATCTATGTGTGTTTGCAACCTCGGCTTAGTTCTGCTTTCCATGTAGGCTCACAATGTGCAGTGTGGTAAAGGCGACTTCATTCAGCTCGAGGAGATGCCTTTCCATGACAATTCACTCCCTACCAAGGCTCCAGTATGTGATCAGTTGCAACCTCAGTTGGAGTGAACTCACTTTCTTCGATAGCACAATCTCCCTCTTCTATCGAGCGTGGCTGTTATTGATACCTTGAGTCAGGCACATGCGAGATCCTATTTCGAGGGCTACTATCCCAACGTTGATGTACCCCGCGGCATTGATGCCCGTCGATTAGCCATTAAGAAGGCAATTGGACAGTTGTGATAATATGGCCTTGTCTGTAGAGATAGTTATGTGATATGCCCATCCAGCACGCGACTTGTTCGAGTACTTATACCTAATGAAACTTCCGATGGGGTGTAAGCGCCGTATCGCGGTCACGTGTACGATGGCTTCGCCTACGGCGCGTACCACACTCATTTCACTTCTAACCGTGACTGGCAGTACTACTCCAGTAACGTAATGGTGGTGCGATTGTACATTTCGCTTCTAAAGTCAAGTGATTTTCTATACATGAAATGAGCAGAAGCTCATGCAGCTGCCGCCCCTTTCTCTTCTACCTCCTCTTTGCCCTTGGGTCCACTGAATACGTCGCGAACAACACCTCTGACGATTTCGATCATCGCCCTGCGGCTCTCCCAGACTGGTAGAATCGAAGTGATAAACGCCGCTACGAAAAGCCAAAGCACGCAAATGATGATCCACGCTTTGAAGAAGCGCAGCGAAAACACATAGTGCGAGAGGAACAACGGAATGGGAATCAACTGTACGGCATGCTCTAGTCAGCCACGATGCAATGGCACAGTAATGTTTAAAAAAACTCACGAAGATGGTGATAAACGTGAGCGTCAGCGATGACCACGTCGCGGTGACCAGCGATTTCTTTAGCATCTCCATGTCCTCCGGCGTGTCGTCGTTCCGGTCAAGCTCTGCCTCATCGTTTGCAGATGACACGTGCGTGTTGACCTCAGACTTCTTCTCCGACTCAACAGGAGAATGAGGCTGGTCCGTGCTGGTCCTTGCGCGTTGCTCCTCTTCTATCTCTGCAAGACGTGCTGCCCTGTCCAGCGCACGTCCCCGAGCGTTGATTTTCTTTGTCTCCGTCCAGTCAAACTTGTTGTCTGGCTTGATCAGTGTGACAATGATGGAGATGAGCGCGCCTGAGCAGCAAGAGCCCAGGTTACCCGCGAGCGTAGGATACATCTCGCCTGTATCATTGCTTCATCAGAACTGCCGCAAAACCGAACAAAGAAATCAGCCCACCGGTCGTGGTAACGTTCAGCTTGCCATAGTACGCCTTCGCAACGACGAGCCAACATATGATGCCGATACTCATACCGCCGAGCGCCCCCGCGAACACCGCGGCCTTCGTTTGCTTGCGCCAAACGACTGTCATGATGATGGGGCCGACTGCTGAAGTGTAGATCGTCCCGGCGAACAGGAACAACCAATTCAGGGAGAGACCAATTCCGTTCCAAAGGCATGCGATGCAGGACATGATGATAGCCCAGATGGCGACCATAAGATGCGAGACGCGGATGAGTGTCTCCGGCGACGCCTGTCCACCCGGAAGACATGAGCGACCAACGACGTTAAGAAGGATGAGATAAGACATACGTCTGGCTTGAAGTGTATTTGATACAGGTCGAACGTAAGGATGGAGGACGTCGCAATCATCTCGGATGACGCCGCAGATGTGACCGCCATGAAGAGCAAGATCAACTACTTTGCGTGAGATTGTGTACCAAATAGGGAAACGATATCTTGTCTAACCATTGCGACTGCACCTCCCTTGCCAAGAAGCGTCACGACACCGGCGGGGGCTGAAAGACCCGCATTAATCTGCGCGGACGACAGACCTCCAGGGAAGGGGAAGCTCGGGCCTGTTGAACACGGAAAGCTTAGCTACGCCACGAAAGTCTCATGGACGGGCAACGTACTGTTCGCCAATGCAACCGCAGCCAAACCCATGATCGAGGAGAATGTCAGCGGGACGGCAAACCAGGCGAAGCCACCCAAGAGGTATGCGCGCACGGCAGTCTTCGCCTTGGACGCAATCGCGCGCTGCCAGTATCCCTAAACGGAGGAATGTTGATTAGGGACAAACTTTACTAATTCACCAGGAGAGAATATGGGTAACTTGCCTGGTCTAGCACCACGGTACCGAATCCACCGGTTATCTGAATGATCATGAACATCAAGCCATCTGGATAAGTCGGTCAGTAACTCCCCGATTCGGAGAGCTTCTTTGGGCGTACTGTTTGACTTTAAAGTAAGATATGACCCTCCTTGATTTCCGTTGACCGGGCGAAGGACAGCCGCTTCTTGCAGGAGATGGTACATTCCGTCAAGGCCGCCGATCAAATCGGTGTTCGTGTATGTATAGAAAAAGAAATAGAGCTACAAGTTCACAGCCGTGGATCAGCCAAGGTGTTCTCGATCGATGAAAAGTATAACTTACGATAATTATCATCAAAATCATCGTGTGCACGAAGTCACCTGAAAGCTCTTCGTTTTAGTCGATAGTGAAACATCATGTACAGTGCAAACTTACACAGAAAGGTGGCTCGAAGTCCGCCCAGAATGACATAAATCATGACTCCTAAAGGGATAAGAAAATTCGAAGCGTAGATGTTCATTCCAGTAAAGGCATTCACGACGGCACTACCACCGAGCAGTAACATGCTGGAGACGATGAGGTTGGTGACGAGACCATACGTCACAAACATGAAGTGGGCGGCACTGCCGTAGCGCGCCTGCACGATCTCGAGGTAGGTATGGCAGTAAGGCGCGATCATCTTCACGCGGACGGCAAGGATTGCCATAATGAATATCTGCATGGTCGCGCCCGCCGCGTAGTAGTAACCGCCACACAATCCCCATTCGTACGTCACCGTCGAGCTCTGGAGAAGAGTCGCAGCCCACGTCCAAGCAGAAACGATGCCCGAAGCGATGAGACCCGGCTTGACGGAGCGCGATGCGGTATTGAACTCCTCTGAGGCGTTGGTCTTGAAAGTCGTGTATCGGTTCTGCAGATAGGACAGACCCATCATGATAATGGCGAAGACTAAGCCGATACCGAGAACGACTCCATAGCCGACGCCCTGGGTCAAAACTCGGGCTCCTTCAGTATTCGACATAGTTGTGGAAACAGCGGTAGAAGAGAAGTGCGGAGGCGCAAGGACGAAGCATAAGAAGGTCGAACGCTACAGCTAAAAGGCTGGTTCAGGGCTCACGGAGTCTGACTCGGAGTCTTGCATGATAAGCAGAGACACTTCTTATCGAGGGTGAACGACTTATATAGACAATCTGTAGCAATCGTCCTTGTGGAACCTGCAGTCTGATTAGAGCATTCTTTCCTCCCACTCAGAGATTCGCTGATAGTTCTGGAGTAAACAGAGTGAGTAAAGCGTCAAAAAAGACCAGCCTCGGCAAATTTTCCAATAGGAACACTTGCAGATGACCTTCGAAAGGTAGTTAAATGAGTAGTTGACCTACAGATGCCAAGCCCTCACCTGGAATGGACTCACACGAGCGACTTGGACGTGTCTCACGTAGAAGTTGAAATCTATTTTGGGACAGATAGTACTTCCGCATGCCATATATCCGGGAACGTGGAATGCAAGTAATAGGGAGGTGCAGGCGCTGGCCTTTGTACTGCTCGCGGAGCCCGTAACGTTGTTATCTACCAGCCCCAAATATACGCACTTACCTTGGCACACCAACCGTAACTTTCATTCTTCACGCGAGATCGCCTGTCGGAGGGCCGTAATACGACGACGCTATCGCCTGACCCGGAGAATTCGAGATGTTGATGGCGTAGGTCATCGACCGACTTCTCTTCGAATCTACCTTATCTCGGAGAAGAGCTGTTCAGAGTGTTGCTCAGCCTTCTATGCACGTGTGGAAAGCTCATGGATCTGCTTAAGTGATTATTACTCAGTCTCACGTAGACGCCGCGGTTCGACATGGGCGAACAAACCACAAGTGAAGAATCCTGATGGAATCCTATGCTGTATCAGCAATAAGATTCAGATACACGCAGTCTGAAAGTCGTTCAAAATACTCATCTGAGATTCTGAACGTCCAGCTTTGCGAATGTCCCCGCTCGATCTCGACCTGCGGCAGTTTTTGCATCAAGCAGATCGCAAACCGGCGCAACGAGGCTGCGATTGGACAAATGTACTACTTATCAGTGTGGTGTCCTTGGCCATCATCTCCTTTCCCGCAAGAGATGCTGTAACTGCGGCGAGAACATGGTCAATGAAATATACGACACCTTCGGAACAAGACTGTCTTCGCCACCCCCGGACTACAATGATCATTGACGCTTGGGCGTGCAGCAGTCCACCGTTAATTAAGTCGACAGGTTCAATACACGTGTACCGGCTCTTAATCGTCACGAAAAGTTTTAGATGAAAAGCGTCCGTGAAATGTAACGCGATAATACGCGCCAAGGTGTCCTAGGTGATCCTGATCACGAGGAACGTCAATACAAACGCAATGAGCACCACCACCAGACTGGAGATCACGATCCACGTCGTGCTCCAGGTCTTGCCTCCCACTGCCTTCAAACGCCCGCGTTCTCTGGTCATGACTTCGTGATTGCGCTCAATCTTCTCCTGCGCGGCAAGCACGACGGCCTTGTCCGCCTCGAGTGAGCCGGAGAAGTGCAGCGCGTTTCGCTTAAGCTGTGTCGCCATCTGTGCGAGCTGTGCGGAGAGTTCCTCGTGCACCGCGGCGGAATTCTGAAGGAATGCAGGGGTCGGTGTAAGATTGGACGTGCTTGTGGTAGCTTTCGCTGGAGTGGGAGTAGGTGCGAAAGACGGTGGGAGGATGGTCCCTGACGATTCAACTAGGGGATGATGTAGTACAGGCTCGTCGGATGGGGACAACAGCAGATCTTGCGCAGAGAGAGGTACTGCAAGTTCGCTTGATAGACCTGGCGAGCACTGCGACTGCATCGGCTCCAAGCTTAGTTGAGGTACATCTGTAGGTGCCGATGGAATGGGTAATGATGGTAAGATGGCCTCCGGACGTATCGCTTTAAGTGAGACGCGCTATAACATGATCAGTATGCAAGTTCTCGCAACACAACAGAAGTATAAAATTTTCGAACTTCGTGACGGGGATCGATCATTAGCTCCGATTTAATGTCACAGGATGAGGTCGATTTCGAGTCAAGCGTAGCCAACTTATAATGAATACGGAGACAATGGAATTACCTTGTCCACTTCCAAGACCGTATTCTCGAGACGGTCCAAAGTGCGTCGCATCTCCTCATACCGTTGAAACATAGCGCTAAAGCGGGAACCACGAAGTTGAGTGCAACCACGAACCATGCATTTAGCGGAGGCACGCACGCATTGTCCAAATCCTCGTTTAGCTCCGCGTTCTTGAGCAGCTTGCGCGCATGTCTCAATTTCTGCCAAACAAATAGATACATAGCATTCCTACGATCCTCGCCTGGCGCCGGTCAGCGAACAGGGAGTATTACCCACCTGCAATGTGCCGCGAGTCTTTATCCATGTGGGAGGTAGACCGTGACGGTCGTCGGTCCAATCCTCACTAGCAACCGTCTTCTCTAGCCTTCGAACCAGCCTGGCGAGGTTTATTCTGTCATGAACTGTCTGTTCTGAATCATTCTCGTTCATCTTCGTGAGCTCGTTGTCGACGTGGACGTTTTCGATGCACTCAGTCCGAGTCAGCCAGTCGAGTCGTGGCGGAAACGGAGAGCGCTTTGCACGTGCACGGTCCGGTGCGGAGTTCGACTGCCTCGCAAAAGCTGCTCTGGCCCAGCTGGGATGCCCTCACATCTGTGCCATGGGGACTCGTCACCAGAAGCCGTCGAGTAATTTGCGCTTGCCGACACGCAACGTCATTCGCGGCATGGAGGCTCGAACTTCGTACATATATACGTATCGCTGTCGTGTACCACCGACTGTGAGCCTACTTCATCTCTAGTGCAAAATGGGTAGTGCATTTTCTGCTCTCGATGCCCGGCTAAACTTCAGCAATACCATGACTGCCCTACGGCACTCCTTCCCCTCGAAACCCACTTTCAGTACAGACCAAATTCCTGACCTCGCAGGTCAGATAATAATCGTAACTGGTGCGCCCCGTGATTCATTCGGTCCCGCATGTGCTTATAAGTGGATTTCAGGAGCGAATACCGGAATTGGCAAGGAAACCGTTCGGGTATGTCGGCTTTCATTGGACGACCATATGTCGTGGCTGAGTCTCGAAACTGTAGAGACTCCTCGAACACAACGCCAAGGTCTACCTAGCAGCGCGGAACAAGGACAAAGCCGAAGCCGCCATTAGGGACCTGAAAGAGCTGACTGGAAAAGAGGCAATATTTTTGGAGTTAGACTTGGCCAGCTTCGCCTCCGTTCGCAAGGCTGCCGCGGAATTCCTCAGGTGTGTCTTATCTCTGCATTTGCGTACAGTTTCTCATGTGTTTCCGTACAGTAAAGAGAAGGAACTGCATGTCCTCTTCAACAACGCGTAAGCCTCGAAGCCTTCTGTAATTATCTAGCCATTCATATTTTGGTGGGGAAAGGGGTGTCAACGGGTGTCCCATGAGTTTCCTAACGGTCGAAGGGTACGACATGCAGTTTGGAACCAACGTAATTGGTATATACGTCGACACCTAAAACCTTCACTATTTTTCACCCGATTTCGTCCAGGACATTACCTATTCACGAAGCTCCTAATACCTGCTCTTGTCGCTGGGAAAGAAACTTCACCTGACCATCATACCCGCATAATCCACACGTCGTCAGGAGGGGCATATCTCTCTACGATGGATTTCGACACGTTCGTACCCGGGCCGGCAAGGTCAAAATTATCTCCGACCAATCTCTACACCCAAAGTAAATTTGTGCGTTTATCATTTTCCTGAGATCGAGGCCATGCTCATCGTGCTGTCTTGGATATCAGGCAAACGTAGTAGTAGCACGACAATTTGCGAAGCGCTATGCAGATCAAGGTATTGTCTCTATGGCCGTTGATCCAGGTTTGTTCCGCACTGGCGGTTGAATGGCGTCTTTGATAATATTTTTTCGTGACATTAAAGGTAGCATCCGGACAGACATGCAGCGCTATCATTCGTCATTCTCTCAGAAGATCGGCGTGCGCACACTTCTTGAATCTTGTTTACAGCAATAATTAATATCCTCTGTTTCTGTAGGATTTCATTTTTGCGCCCGTCTGGCTAGGTGCCCTCACCCAGCTATACGCAGGTACAATGCCAGTGGCGGTGAGCCACAACGGCAAGGTTTGTTCTTGTTTATCATCCGAATTCGTACCGTTCGTTCTTACTGACATTGTTCGTAGTTCTTGATTCCGTATGCGCGAGTCGGCATCTGCAGAAAGGAGGCATACGACGATGCCCTCGGTGAACGCCTGTGGAATTGGCTTGAAGAACAGGTCACCGCTAAGTAGAGTGTCTGACCAGGGCATGTCTCATGCCCGCCTCCCGTACTGAGCACCTCCCTTTTTCCCGATTATTGCAGCCTATTGAGGTCATGTGTTACGACAGTGCCTACGTTATATATTCTGCATTTCTACAAGTTTAAGGCTCTCGACCTGATACCACGTACACGTTCCGCATTTGGCTCTGTCCAGGAATTATCGATAAGTCTGCAAAGTCCCATCCCCTTACTAATTGCGCGCTCGAGCACACGTCTTTCCATGGATGTCTCTCCTGAAGTATCTACGGATGCCTGTGTCACCAGTTCGGACGATGCCAAAAACAGTCAAATCACTACGTAGATTCGTGCGAGATGGACTCACATGCGCGAGGGTACAAGATATGCCGGGTAACCCTGGTCACTTTGCTACTTTAGAGCTTCGTCGAGAACAATAGACGGGTATCCTTTAAAGAATCCTGGACACACATGTCCCTGTTCTTCGGCCGCGGCCGACTATATTCGGCGATGTTTCCTAGCCTTCGGACTAACAGACCTGGGAGCGAATATTCGACCATTGGAGTCTCCTCCACAGCTCTCCGGCTGAGCGACACCGCCGCCTTTCCGCTATCGGACCTTGCATCTCTGCAGCAAAATAAAAGGACAGCAACCAGATGCATGGAGGCCGGTGGCGGTGGCAGAGTGGACACTCTGCTTCAATCTTCGTGCCTCAAAATATCCTTGTCTGACCATACATCCAATACAGCAGGTATATATGGGGACATGGAGCTCAACCAGATATTCCAATTTAGACGGCGGACATCCCGTCCTCTACGCCCGTACAAGTGGCGAGACATTCTTTGCATGGCTGGTAAGAGTAGCGGTCTTCAGTGTAAGTTAATGTGGTCAATGTGGTAGTTGTAGGTTCATAGGCATCTTGTCAGCCTGAACACGAGCCACGGCCCAACGTATCTCTTGCAATTTGCCCTGGTTCTGCAGAAGGGACACGTCGTGGGAAATGGCCAGAGGGATGTTTGACACGCTAAGATTCAAGTCTCCAAACGATACTCCCTGTTTTGAGTTGCTTGGGGAATGATAGGATTAATACCAATATTGGCAAGCCGATGCGGAAGGACGTTTCGGTGCAACTTTGACATAAGCGCCCGAAGGCAGCGGCACCCACTCCTAGGTGTCTACCTCTGGTTACAACTTACAACAGTCCGCCATTCTGTTTACCAATATGTCAGACACGTCGCAGTTCGAGATGAACATCGCATACGACATTCTCTGCTCAATTGTTGACCATCCCACAATGTTGAGCATTCCTGTCCGCACAGGCATGCAGTGGGCAGAGCTAGCGGCTGAGATTGCACAGCATCCCTTAGTGGTATGGGGCATCGGAGCTCCTTTAGACCTGTACAAGCTGGTAGGTTGTATATTGTACATTGTTGTCCTTGTGCCTTTAACCTTTTTGCAGCGTGCGCCAACTCCTGAGGATGAGCTCCAGCAAGGATTACAGATAGGAGGCGTGGAAGATATCGCTGACAAAGTCAGGTCTTTCGCCGAAGTACCGCATGACATGACCCAGTTTCCCCGGGATAAAGTGCATGTCGTCGTCGTCGTGAGTCCACCGAGAAAGATAGCCGAAGGTCAGTGAAGCAGTCCATCTGTCCGTCGAGGAAGGCTCAATATCATTTGTACCTTGTCGCAGAGTTACCCCGCGGTGAGTGCTCCCGAGGTTTTGTGATAACGGTTCTGAATTCAGCATCATACCAGTCAACCAACCGGCTCAACAACAGTCAGCACTGGTTAAACTGTTACAAGTCGTCGTCGAAATACCCAACAAATGGTCGATGAATGACGTTATCAACAATGGCGGTGTCTTCCTGGATCGTAGTCATCCGGATTCGCAGAACATGGTGGAGATAGTCAACAGGTTGAAGGCGAAACGGACGTATCAGGTGACGCACTCTGATCCTTGGCGCCTCCGAGTGCAACCTGATAATCGACCAATCTTTAGGAAGACTATAATTGCCCCGCCTTTCAGAATGTCAGATCCCTTTCTCATTTCTCCCAATCGTTCATTTCCGTCGTGGAATCTCCCGGGACAGTGAAGGCCGACAACGAATTCGAGACATTCTATCTTGTCCTCCGGCGCTTTAGCAACGATGCGCCCCTGGTGCGAGAGGACACATCCTCATCCTTGAAAGCGAGCAGTTTCAAGGTGTATTTCATCCATTCTCCTTTCTTCTCTGGCAGTACCCAGAGTGATGCTTTACAGTATAAGGAGTAAGTGACACCACTTGAGAGCATGCCAGACTAATGATTCACTTTCAGACAATCGTGCTGGCAATTTCCGATGTTTGTTATGATGCATGACAAACCAGGCTACAAGCGAAAGTTTCACCCGAACAGCGATTTCAGTGTCGTCCTCCGCGGATTCCAATGCCCTGTTATCCTGTCACAAGTTGTTTCACAGAATAACGAAATTGACCGATATCGCATGTTAGTGGAAGCTATCGTTGCTGCACGTGTGGGCAAATATCTCTCGAAGGCTACTTCTCAGAAGCAGTTTTTTGTGATTGCAATTTACCTCACAGCTTCTCTGCAAGTGAATAGGTATATTGTGAGCGAAGACTCATCACCACAGGTAAGAGTGAAACATCTCGTCTCCATTGCATCCCAAGCTCTGATGAGGGTCAGTCTCCAGAAGATCAATATCGAGCACGAAACCTTTGACCTCTGTGATCCAAGTCGGGCAGCTGAGTTCCTCCGGGAAATGTACAACTTGAAGTCATTACTGGATGAGCTTGCAGTGGAGCTTGATGTGAAGAAATGTGCCCATTTGCAGGAGATTGAGGAGGCTGCATCGAAGATGCTTTCCCTTCCCCGGCTGGACCACCTGCCACCAGCAGAATCTCTGAGAACAGCGGAAGAATATGATGAATCAATGGAGCCCAGTGATGACATAGGCGTATTCAATACCGATGTCGTTCGTTCTGTTCTCAACCAGGCAAACTGCAAGATCGACTTCGTCGGATATGGGGTATGTTTGCAGAATCTGTTATGTGCACACTTCTGTATGAACCGAAGTTCTTTCCAGTATCCCCATGTAGCTTCCGTTGTCCGAAAGGATGCTCGTGAAACTTCGGCCGGATTCCTCAAGTTTGTCAAAGATGGAAATGCAGAAGTAGAAATCCTGCAATATCTCTCTCGGATTGATTCGCCCGCCAACCATACCATTCGCCCCGTTCGTGTCTGGCCTATAGAAGGAGGCATGATTATTTCAATGCCCCTTGGAGGTGGCTGGATCACTTACCTCGATCTCAATGCACATCTTTGGGGAGCTTCGCAACAACTGTTCGAAGCTGTCGGATTTATGCACGATCACGGTGTGGCACACATGGACCTCAAACCGGGGAACATTGTTATCCCCCCCATCTACGGAAGGCTGTCTATCATTGACTTCAGCATTGCTGAGCGCGTCAGAGGTCCAGGATACAAACTGAAGGGTTACGCAGGCACGAGAGGTTATACCGCTCCCGAGGTCGGTCGAGTGGCTTATTGCCCTATCCGCGCAGACCTGTGGTCGTGCGGTAAAGTGATTGAAGAGCTTTGTGAGGGTGTCAAACTATCTTTCGCTCGTACGTGGCTACGTCAGGTCAGCACGCGCCTTATGGACAACGATCCAGACAAGAGGCCGATGATGACGGAGATCCTTCAGGCCATGTCGAAGGTTGGCAGTAACAGTGAGCACTAGCTCGAGCGTCAGATCGGTGTAGTTGTCGAAGGCCGGATCAGTAGTGTTCAGTGCATACAAGTAGATTAGCAGCTGTGAATGCCCTACAGTAATCCCTGGATTTTGCTTGTGAACATACCGCGTATTGACGACGCCTCGACTTGGACATCTCAGAGCTGGACAGGACCGCTATCTGGCCGTCACTCGACGCCGCGGTACAGTATCTTTCCACACACGGCCACACACGGTCACTTCTATGCTTCTTTGCAATTATAATTGGACTGGAGAGACTTCCAGAGTCTACCATTGCGTGGAATCCCACTGATTCATCACCGGGATGGGCAGCTACGAGGGAGCATTCAACTCCAGCGTGCTGGAGCTCGTCGCTCCGCAGGAGTCCGTTGGGTTTCCCAGTGGATACGGCGAGAAGGAGGCTGCAGAATGGCTAGCCCGTCTTCATGAAGAGGGTTCGGACAGGAAGGTGGCATTCTTTGGTGACGTGCATACTTAGTACATGTTCTCCTACCCATCGCGCTCATGCATTTATTTACTCCCCAGACGAAAATCTTGCCCTGATTCTGACCATCCGTTTCCCGCACGACTCCTTCGAGGACGCTTCCCAGGCAAATGCAGCGGCGAAGCCAGACCCTCCCCTGCAACTTCTTTCCTTCCTCGCGCATCTCCAAGTCTCCTACGAAGCGTCTTACATCTCTCCCACCGCCCCTGCCGCGCTCTCTGCAACTGCACCAGAGATCGCGCGACCACCTGTTCCCCCCCGCACAACGTCCATGGGTAAGAACAAGCCTGCGCTCCTGCAGGCGAAGCAGCACCCCTCCATTTTTCCGCCGAACACTCCGCTGCCTATCCCTGCTGCTGCCAAGTCCGACCGTAAGTACGTTCAAGCACAGGGCATGCTTCTCGCATCAGGCGTATGGGGCGAGGATTTGCTCGGGAACAACCCGTCGGCCAACTCGCAAGATGCCTTTGCCCTCCTGTGGGCACCGGAGACGCAGGAGTGGGTAGCTGTGTATAGGCTGTCGGTGCTCGTCTGTGAGTGTTGCCAACTCAAAGGCTCTCCTTTGTAGCTCAGTGCTCTTCAGCGTTTATGGCGACCAAGATACCGGATCCACTGCTCTGTCTGACGGTGTCGGCGACGCTGCGCGAGAAACCGCTCGCCATGACCCCCTCACGTCATGCCCTTGCCGCTTTGATCGACACTGTAGGCGGGCTGCCGAACGTACTCGGCCAGGTCATGTCGCCCTCGAAGGCCAACGGTCCGGACACTGAGGGGAATACTGAGGATGACGGTGACGACGTGCACCTGTATGGGCTGGAAGAAATCAATCTCCTCGAAAACCTCAATTTGGGTGCGTTCGCCTTCTACCCTCCAAGTTGCTCGCTAATACCTTCCCCAGACCCGACCTTCGCCTCCTCGAACCTCTCGCTCCCGTCCACGCGTCTCGGGCCCAATACTCGCGTTTCCGCATTCTCACTTCCACCGAAGTCGCTCCCTCCCATTGTGGATACGACCTCTCCCTCGACCCCGACCGCCTCGCGCCCACTCACACATGCGACGCTTCGCAAGTCGTTCCGCAAGACGATGGCGACCGCATCGGGGTTCCGCGTGCGGATGCGCACCGTGTTCGTACCGTACTTCCTGCTCCCCAAGACGAGCAAACCTCCGCGCGATGGCGGCGGTGTGGAGGACGACGTCGATAGTGACCCAGATGCGCTCCAGGCACGCGACCAGCGGGAGGCGGGGAACGAAGAACACACAGTCGTGCTCAGCGTGGAGATCGAGAACGCGTACACGGACGAGCTCAGAGGCTCATCTGCATCCCCGCCGTACAACTTCGCCGTCGAAGACGTGGTCGTCAAGATCGGCGGTTCGGGTGCGCGGACGGTGCTCGTGCCGTGGGGAACGGAGGACCCCGCGGACATCTTCCCGATACACATCGCGCCTTCGGAACAGGTGAATCTTCTCTACGCCGTCTCGTTCCTGCGTGGTCCAGAGGTCGACGAGTTTTCGCTCGCTGGGACCTCGGCGAAGTCGGATCCTGTCGCGGCTGCGATGTCGGAGAAGGAGCTACAGCGGTCGGTGACGATCAATATCCACGGCCGTCCATTCGAACGGGTAAAAGGGCATCCAGAGGAAGAGACCGAGTCGCAAGAACAAGAGGTGCTGTCGTACCCTACCCGTGTATATCCCTCCCGCTGGAACTGTGTTCTCGACCTTGCCTCCCGTCCCCCACCCATGCCTCCAGGGACGGAGACGCCCCACCACTCCGTGCTGCCCACACCCGCTTCCCCCTTCCCTTCGATGCCAACCCCCACACCCGGCCAACCCGGCCTATCTATTAATCGCTCAAACGTTCTCCAAGTGGGCTCAGCGGGCAGCTCACGTTCGTCCACCCCCGCCGTCGCAGGCAACAAGCGCTTCGCCAGCGCCTTCGACACACCCCAGACAGCGCTGGACGCGCGCGCCCAGTCATACGCACGCATGCCGCGCTCGCCCATCAACTACCAAGGCGCGACCGCGATGCTCAACCCCGCGAACCAGCCGCAAACCTCGCCCCAGCAGCAGCAGACGCAGGGAACGCCGACCCTCACGAACCCCTTCGACCGCCGCACGTCCTACCTCCCGCCCTCCATCACCTTCGAGTCCACCTACGCCCGCTCACCGACGACCTACAACGCTCCGCAGAGCCCGCCCGCGCCCGTCCCGCCCTCCTTCTCCTCCCTCGCCGCCCCGCCAGAGGACGCAGAGCCGCGCACCCCCGCTTACCCCGCCTACCCCGGCTCGCCCCCGCCCCCTCCACCGACTCCATACTGGCAGGCGCCGCTCGCGCAGCAGACGGGGGCGGGCGCCGTGGGCCCGAGCGTCGAGATCCGGCGCGAGCGCGGCGGGGTGCCGCCCACGCCCGGCCCGCGCGTGGGCGGGTTCGGGATGGGCGCGGAGGGCCCGGGGGCGGGAGCTGGTGCGGGGGCGGCGGGCGAGCCGATCGTCGTGTCTGTGGGGCTGCTCCCGATGCCCGCGCGCGGGGACGCGGGGGGCCGGGGGGAGCCGGGGGGGATATACCCGCTTGACCAGTTCACGCTGGATATTTTTGTGTTCAACCAGTCGTCGTGGACGCGGCGGTTTGAGGTGAGCTGTCCGGAGGAGCGGCGGCGGCGGCGGCGGCGGCGAGGCGAGGGGAACGTGGGTCCGCCTGGGATATTGCCGCTGGAGAGCAGGGTGCGCGTTGGGTGAGTCGCGTCGGTGTGCAGTTTGGGTGTTTTCGGGGAGCTCATGCGGCTTTTCTTGTATTTCTTCTCCAGGCCGCTGCTGCCGTCGACTTGCCAGTCCGTGCGGATGGACTTCTTGGCGCTCGCGCCTGGCGTGCACTCTGTCGACACGCTCACGCTGACGGATGTCAGGACGGGGTTCACGATGCATTTGAAGTAAGCTCCTCGACTTCGATTTTTTTCCCACCTACTGAGTGCCTCGCGTCTCCAGATCCGTTATGGACGTCGTAGTGCTTGAGCCCCCTCCCGAGGCGGCGTCGAAGTGATAGCAGTGGCACATAACGTAGTACATGGTGTATATACATTCATTCCGACCGCATTTATCATAATCATTCGCTCTCCGAAAATGCACGCTACCAGCGACGAAACGGACGCCTACGCATATATAGATAAGGGGATAGGATGGACGCGGAGAAGCCGGACTTTATACAGATGGTCATAAGGGAAGAAGCAGAACGCAACAAACGGCGAGCAGACAACAATGAAACCGTAAACCGATACGCAGCGTCCCTACACAGCGACTAAGCCCACTGGCTCTTATCCCACGCCGGGTCCTGCAGGAACGCACACAGAACCTTGCTGCCCGTCTGCACCACACACACCATCACAGGTCAGCCACGCCATCAACAGAGCAAACCGGAATCAGCGCGCACCTGGAGGAGGGGGTGGCCGGCGACGACGGTGAGGAAGCGCTCGAGGCCCTCGCGGCGCGCCTCGATGACCTCGTCCGAGAAGCGGTTCGTGAAGACCTTGCCCGGGAGCGGGGGGATGTTCACGCGCGTGGACTCGTGCTCGAGGATGTCGCGGAAGGCCTCAAAGTCGGAGTAGCGCCGGCGCACGAGGGAGTGGCGCAGCTTGAATGCGGGGATGTTCGTCTGCGGCGCAGCCAGCGGAAGATCAGCGTGCGGAGTCGACCGGCAGGGAGTGGGAGGGAGAAAGCGCACCTTGCACACGATCTCGTAGTCTGTAAACATTTTGCGCCCGAATCCTGCAAATCCAAAAAAAAAACACCGCCGCTGAGCACCCGACGACGACAAAAAAGAGAGAGAGAGAGCAAAAAAAACATCGCGCACCGTGCGTCTGCGGATTGCGCACCTCGATCTCCAGAAAGCTTTCCGGAACGCTATACATCTCCTCGATCTGCAGGGACGGACAGAGATGCCTGTTCGTGTGTGTGGCTCGCGGCTTAGACGTGGGGGAAGTGCGCTTACGGTCTGCTCGCGGCCACCAAGGCGTGGCTCGTCGAAGACGCTGCTGCGTGCAAAGGGCGATACGGCCGTCATCGTGCTGGGTGGTGAGGGAGAGAGGTCAACTCGACGCCCGCGCTGTCCACCCCCGGAGCATAAAAGCGGACCAGCCGCCCAGGGGCCCGTGGGAAACACCGCCACCGATTCCAGAACGCTCGCAACTCAGTCACATCATGATGCGCATAGGCATTAATCTGCATAGATACATACAAAAAGCGTAGGCCAAACATCGTATATCGACAGGTATGGCGGGTCGTTAGTAATGTGCGCACGCGGACGCTCAGATACACAAGCAAACGATATACAAACAATTCAGAAATGAGTAGATAGCAGACTCTGCAGAAACACAGCCCAAGATATTTCCTGCAAAGCCCAACGCAGTATCAGCACCCACCCAGACCAACACAATAAAATAAAATAAAACTCACATCACCCACGCGGAGGCAAGCTATACCGCCGATCATCTCTCCCATACGCACCGCGCCCATACGGCGGCGGCGACCGCGGCGGCGGCATCCGCCCCACAGCCTCGCGCCTCTCATACGCATACCCCCCCTCTCTCGTATCCACATACTCGCGCTCCCGCGCGATCCCGCCCGCAGGCGCACCACCCGCATACGCCACCGGTGGCGCGCGGTCGTCATAATACCCCGACGCCGGCGCCGCATACTCCGCAGGCGGCGGCGGCGGCGGCGGCGCACGCGGGAGCTCGCTGGTCGCAGGCGCAGGCGAGTAGTACGCCCCGGCCGGCGCGTACGCATCGTCCCGGGGGCGCTTGATGGGCGGGCGCAGGTCGTCCGGCGCGCGGCGCAGCGGACTGGGGCTCCGCGGGCGGATGCGCGAAAACGCCGGCGGGGGCGGCGTCTCCACACCGGCGTACCGGGCTCGTTCCATATCGCGCGCGTACCCACGGTCTTCTCCGGGGTATCCATCCGTCAAGCGCGAGCTCAGCGGGCGCGCACCGGGCGGCGGTGGTGGTGGCGGCGGCGGCGGCTGGTCCGCAGAGACCCTCCGCTCGCGCTCCTCGCGGGTCTCCCATCCGTTACTCGACACCGCATCCCTTTCCACATACCTCTCGCGCTCATACTCGCGCCTCTCCCACCCACCGCGCACACCCCGCACCTCCCACTCGTCGCCATACCCCCCGCGTTCCTCCTCCCGCCAGTCCCTCCCATATCCCTCCACAGCAGGCGCACGGCGCGCCGAGTCCTCAGCGAACGCCTCGCCAGCAGGGGGCGCCCACGCGCGCGGCGGCGCATACGGGTCCGGCGGGGGCGGGGCCGGCGACGGCGCGCGGCGATACGGAAGCGGGCGCTCCGCAAAGCGCGGCGAGTCGACATCCATCATGTCCGCCCCGCGTCGCTCCGCATACCGCTCCGGCTCGCGATACGGCGCGCGCTCGCGCACGTCGGGCCGGACGGGCGAGCGCGTCCTGGAGCGCGGCTTGAACGCGCGGGGGTCTTCGCGCGCGAGGGACTGCGCGCGTGAGGTGGGGAATGGCCCGGGACGAGACCCGACCGGCGTGACGGGGCGCGCGAAGCGGTCTTCGATGGGTGCGCGCGCGCGCTCGTCCGGGCGCGCCGCACGCTCTGGCTGGGCGGGAAGTGGCGGCCGGGCAGGTTCAGCGAGGAGCATATTGCGATCGTCCGCAGGGACAGGCCGGGCAACACGGTCACGGTCAGGAGCAACAGCAGCAGCTGGAAGAGGCGGGGGCGGGGGCGGACGCGTCGCCCGCTCTTCCGCAGGCGGCGGCGGGGCAGCAGACGTAGCAACAGAAGTAGCAGCAGCAGCAGCAGAAACCGCGTGGGAGAGCCTTTCCTCGAGAGCGGGGCGCGGCCCGCGCTCGTCCACACCGGGGCGCGTGCTCGGCGTGCGGTCTTCCGGTCTACCAGCAGTACTAGCACTCAGCCGCTCGTGGAGGGGCACCGGGCGAGTCAGGCGGTCTTCCAAGGGCACCGGTGGGCGTACATTCCTGTCTTCGACATGAGGCGGTACACGGCCGTTGCGGTCTTCAACAGATCGGGGAGCAGCTGAATCTGCAGGAGCAGCAGGGACAGGACCAGGACGTGGGTTGCGGTCCTCAGACACCGGAGGGCGGCGATCATCGCCTGGCGGGGGTCTTACCTGGCGGTCTGCGCTTGGAGGAAGAGGTGGACGACGGTCATCAAGCGGAGCCCGAGCCTGCCTATCTACGTTGGACGGTGGGGGAAGAGGCGTGCGACGGTCGTCTCCGGGTCTTACCTGTCGCTCTGAGACTGCAGCAGCGGGAGGCACAGGCGGACGGCGATCATCACCAGGGCGCAACTGCCGGTCCCCAGCCGGGGGAGGCGGCAGCGGTCGGCGGTCATCCAGGGGTCTCAACGGACGGTCAGCTGCGGAAGGTGGAGTAGGAGCACGGCGGTCATCAGGAGGTCTCAATGAGCGGTCAGCCGCAGCAGGAGGCACAGGTGGGCGGCGGTCATCCAGTGGTCTGTAAGGGCGGTCATCCAGTGGTCTGTAAGAGCGGTCCACAGCACCCGACACCGGCGAGCGGTGGTCGTCCCCAGGTCTCAGCGGGCGGTCAGCAGGAGGAGGTCCACGGCGGTCATCAGGCGGCAGCGGTCTGCCCTGCGCCCTGCTGGGCGAGCTGTCCAGTGCAGGCCGTCCGTAGGAGCGTTCATCAGTCAGCGGGCGCAGCTGGCGCGAGTCAGAGCTACGGTCATCGTTGGCGCGCATTTCCGCGGGTTTTTCGTAGCGGCGCACAGGCTCATACCGAGACTCATACGGACGGCGGGTATCTGGCAGCGGACGCGGACGGTCATCGTTGCGGCGGTCATCGCGGAACCGCGAATAATCCGGGCGGCGGTCCCGATCCCGCTCGCGGTCCCAGTCTCTGTCCTTCTCACGCTCGCGCTCACGTTCGCGCTCTCTGTCCTTGTCGCGGTCGTAGAATCGCGCTGCAGAGAAGCGCCCATTGTGGTCGTTGCCGTTGCCGTACCGCGAGTCTGCCAGACGGCCGTTCGAGCCGGGGCGGTCCTCGAAGCGCGAGGAGGGCTTGTCCTCGGCGCCGTTGCGGTATCCCCAGGCGGGCTCACGCGCGTTGCGCACGTCATCCTTGTCTCCGTACGGCGGGGGCTTGCCAGAGGACGGGAGGTCGCCGGGCGGCTTCGTTCCTTGCGCCGCAGACTCACTAGCCACAGACTTTTCCGACGGCGCGCGGCCGAGGGTTGGATCGTATTTGGGTCCAGGCGGGCCTTGGCGTGCGCTGTCGGTGTTGCTCGCATCATAGCCTGTTGCACGCTGGGGACCTTCTGCAGCAGAGGGGGGAGGCTTGGAGTCGAGAGGCTTGGCACCGGCGCTGGCAGGTTGTGCAGCAGGAGTAGAGCCACGGGCGGAGTCATACCTCTGGTCGGCGCCGTAGCGTGGCGCAGGGGGCGCTTGCGCATTCTGTGAGACAACAAGAGGATCAGCGGTCAGGGAGACGGTCGGAGCACGGGCGCGCAGCACATTGTTATTAGGCGGGAGCGAGTCGCTCACTGATTGCTGTCCGGCGGGCTTCCGTTGGGCGTCCCACGGTTCAGAGGGCTGAGATCTGAGCCTACGCAGCTGCTCGCCAGAAGTAGCACCAGAGAGAGCACCGTTGCTGCCAGCGTTGTTGTTGCTAGAGACGTTGTTGTTGTTGTTGTTCCCGTTGTTGTCGCCGACGTTGGGAGCGAGGACAGGCTTCGCGGCGTCTGTGGGGAGGTCCTGGGAGATCTGCTCTGGATGTGGTGGGACTTGTGTGGTTGCCCTGGGACCGAGATAGAGCTTTGCAAGGGTGGCAGGCTGGGGCACGGCGCGGAAGAACTCGTGCTGGCCGTTCTTGATGGACTCCTTGAGCTTTTCGAGGACCTCGAGGTCGCTCTGGCCGGGGGGCGGCGGTGGCGGCGGCTGATGGAAGAACGGCTGGGGCGGCACGGCTGGGTGCGGGGGCACAAAGGCGGGGCCGGGGAGCGGGGGCATGTAGCCGGCGTACGGGAAGGGCGCGAAGGCGGGCTGGAGGGCGTAGCCGGGCGGCGGCATGCCGGGGCCTTGGGGGTGGCCGGGCTGGGCGCCGGCGGGGACGGAGAAGGGGACGTTCATGCTGTCGTCGTGGGTGGGCGTGGAGAGGAAGGAGGACTCAGGGCCGTCGGTGAGGGTGGTGACGGTGCGCTCGCGGTTGATGACATTGCTCCGTCCCTTGCGCTTCTTGTTTTGCCTTGTCGACATTTGGCGGTCCACAGATCTCCTGCTAGCCTGATCCTGAATACTCTCTAGCTCCGCGCAGAACCACGCACAACGCTCGCTCTCCCTCGTATCCTGTGCTCGCTCAGCGGCGAGAGTATTTGCCAGAAGAATAATAACACAGCGGAAGTAAAAGACAAAGGTGACGTGTGCAAAATTCTCATCTGATCCCCACCGATAGATCATCCGTTCAAAACCAAAGTCACACGTCACACAACTCCCCCCATCCTACCCTACGAGTCCCCAAAATGCAGACGTTCGCGAGCATGCGCCGCATTGCGGATAGCGAAGCTGCATTCGGTGCTTGGTCTGTGCGCCCTCGACGCGTCGCCTTCGGGCATTCTGCGGACTAGGCCTTCGCTATTGTAGTCACAGCGTGACATCCACGTGCCAAAAAATACACGAAAGACGCCCAATTTAGGCGACTAGCACCGCGAGACGTAAATGCCCTGTTCAATGGTCTCGTACCCAGACGGTTATCTCATCGCACCCTACCACCGCAGATAACACGTCTGGGGCAGTTTGATAGAGCCCTCCTACCTTACAGTTGGCGCCCGTTAAGCGCCAGATAAGCGACAGACCATGGGCTAGGTCTGTGCCGAATCAGGCAACTGTTGCGAAGCTTGAATGTCCTCCTTCATTGAAGATCAAGCTATCATAGGCATGCACATCTCAGAACTAGCATGAACACTGTATAGTAATGCTGTAAATGCCTCTAGAAACATTTTAGCACCACAGGAAGCCCGAGCATATTTTCAGCCAGATTCCTTGACATTTTCACTCAAAGTAGCTGGCTTAATGCATTTCCGGTGCTCCTTTGTGTCAGCGCGAGCTCAGAGTATCCGGGCCATCTCAGAAAAGCTTCAGAGGTTCTCGGGAACTCACTCCCATCAAATCTCCTCAAAAAATACATGTAAACTGGGCATAGAGATCAAAAGTCGCGCTCAATGAGTGGGCAGGCACATAATTAAAGAAGCACATAAGCGAGGCTTCTCGAGCGGCTAACGGGCGCTAACTGTAAGGTAGGAGGGCTCTATCAAGCTGCCCCAGACGTGTTATCTGCGGTGGTAGGGTGCGATGAGATAACCGTCTGGGTACGAGACCACTGTTCAATTACATATGTCCCTCCCTAATTTCCCTACTTTGATCGCCTCGGCAGGTGCCTTATTTTAGACCCGCATCTCGGCTAGATCGGAGTTTGCAGTTGCTCGCGCTCTGCTCTGTGGATGCGGGCTTCCCTCATTTTGCTTGGATTTTGGATGGTTTGAAAGCTAATCATGCCCCGAAGAACACTGGGACCTTTCGTATGAAGAATGCATGCATGATCTTGCATACAAAGTGTTGAGATATTTTTGGCACATCTTTTACATAATGCCGAAGATCACGATGAGTGCCAAGCCGAGAGTAGGGAAAGTAGGGAGGGACATAATTGAACAGGGCAAAATAAGTCTGGTCCGTCTTCAGAGCTACTTCAGTGATTACATGCTACTATGGGGCTCGAGCATCGCCAGTTGGTGCATGTCATGTTCCTTCTGTATAAAACCACCACGCACAACACCCTCGTGCCATGTTATCTGTGTGTCATTTAACACTGCAGGATATTGCACCTTTCCCTCATCTCCACACCAGTCAAAGTCTATAAGCATCGCACCTTTCTGCCCTGTCCCTGCCCAATCAACGACCATGACATTGGGAGGACGAAGGTCACCAAACACCAAGTGGGCATCATGCAGCAAGCATACAGCTTTCTTGATATCGTCCAGGATGCTTTGGCGGACATTTGCGGGGATGCCATCCCATGTGAGTTCAAACAAAGTCCTTGCTCCCACTAGATCCATGACGACCACATGCATCCCTCCTCCAACCGACTCGAAGCAGTGGAGTGCAGGAGCAAGACCATGCTGCACAAGCAATCTATGGCCTCGGCTCGAATAATCCTTGACGAACTTCACCGCAACTCTGTCACCCATATCGGTCTTGGCCTCAAACAATGTGGAACCAACCCTTTCATCCTTGGATCCTATCCGACCCACATATGCAAGATGCACGTCCCGATTGTCCTTCCGGTACGAATTGAAGTAGGGGTATACGAAAAGACGGGTGTTGTCAGTCGGGAGTCGTAAACCCTGATAGAAGGTCTGCAACTGTTCCAAGCAACTCTTCAGAGTATTGAAGACCCGGGCAGCAGCAACAACACGTTTATTAAGATGAGGGGTGCCACCTAGCCAGAGGAAGTCAGTGAGGGGTTCAATGAGGACATCATCTGCAATAACAGCCCCCAATATACAGACATAAGGGCCTACTATCGCAATGATGAAGGTGGGACAGCAGCAGACAGATGCCCATCCCTGAAGCTAAAACAAGCAAAGCATGTCAGAAATCGTGGACCGGAGCCAAACTTCAGAGAGACTGTATCATGTACCTGCTGCCATTTCACGAAACCCAATGCGCCCTGGACAGCTGTGTCTGTCCCGCTGAGCCCCATTTCATTCTTGTACTCCATGATGGCGCACAATGCATTCTTTTTAAACGGAGGGCAAAAGGCCACAACAGCGCCATCATTACAGGACCCATCGCCCGGCGACATCGGATGGACGGACATGCCAAGCAGTCCACAGAAGAGTTCATTGATTTTGTTCTGCCGCAGCAGCTCGTCCATATAGAACTCTGATGAAAGCTGAAAGATTTCGTGCATTGCTTTCAAGATGTTGGCGGATGGAATGGTGCTGGGATCAGCCGCATGATCCAAAAATTCAGCAAAAACAGGGTGGTAGATGGAGATAGGAGGGCCGGTGCAGTCTAAAGGGCGGCCATTTTTGATCCGGGTCTCAGAATCGGCCTGCAGTTGACGAAACTCTGATGCCCTGGCACCCGTGGACGGCGCGGGGAGTTTTGTCTTTATGGCCATGATGACGTGCTTGTTATCTGGGGGGGACGACGTGTGGCAGTGAACGAACTTCTGTGCGTGCGAAGACATACCTTCAACAACCTTTGCACATTTTGCAACAGATGTATCTGTATCCTCCTCCCTACGTCGCTTCTCTACAAGACATTCCCTGAGTTCAGAACCAGCGTTACGAATGAGCTCGATATGGTGAAGCTTACTGTCAGCAGGAACCGTCACAGCAATGTGTAGGCACAAATTATCAGGCGGCACCGTGAATGATGTTGAAATACGATCGAAAGGCTCGAGCTTCATCGCAATTGTCTTGATGTCCTTCATCGGCAGGTCATTCGCAAATGCTCTGAATTCATTCGCAGGAATTGGTCGCTCGAGCTAGATGTGGGACCAAGACTCATCAGTGCTTGCGGCTGAGACAATCATAGCAAGATGACAAACCTTCCAGAGCGCCAGTGTGTTACAGTCGCTTGCAAAAGTCGTGAGAATCCCGTGATTTTTTTTTAATTTCGCGCGTCGCGAAGTTCGACCAAAGGCGTCGTTGTAGCTCATTCATTACTCTAGCTATGTATGTAGTATGTATCGTGTACCAACAATAAAAATAGCCCGCAGACACCTGTGCAGAAATCGGGACTAACGGTGAACTCGGAGCACCGCGGTGGCAAATTTTGTGTGCGGTACACTGTCTCTCTGCTTCCTACTTCATGGCCAGGCACGGACGAAAGTCTGGTCATCTAACTGCTACACGGAAAAAACCTGGTCGACCTCCTGAGCAACCTGCGGAACTTGGACCAGATCCCAAACTTACACATCTGCTTCTCAAATTGCCTCCGCATCTTCCTCCCTCGCATCCGCCAGTGCAATCTCTCATCGAGAACTATATCAGTCCATCGTCTTCAAGCAGTAACGAGGATGTTCTGTATGGAGCGCAGGTGACACAGGATGATAACGATGATGGCGTTGTTCATAATTCTGAGACGGACGGAGATGACATCACTGTTACGGAACCAGCCTCTCAGTCAACTCAGGGAGATCATGGGAAGGTTATAACACCCCTACATGGTATGTCATCATTTATTCGTATTGTACAGGCCTTGATCTACATTCCACACACTCAGCACAACCGGTAGAAGTAGAATACATGGTGCCGAAGCATGACGGAAAGGCTATGAAGCGCGTACCGTTGTCTTCGGCCATGACCTGGGATATTGTCCATGAGCGGCTGCGCATTGTGATGGGATATGACAATGTCGACGACATGGCGCTCTCGTATCGCCTCTCCAAGGATGCCAAGTCTGTCCGCAAGAGCCTCGAAGATGACAATGACTATCAGGGCATTGTCCAGTCCATGCAGAGTCATCGCCGGAATACCCGACCTCAGCAAGTAATTATATTGGATGACAGTGTATGTATCATCTTCTGATGCTTGCCAAGCTCTCACCTTCCAGATAGGTGAATGATTCAGAGCAGGAGTTGTCACAGCCCAAGGGTTCGCACAAGAAGGCACCCGGGATGAAAGCAGCCGCAGTCGCACATGCTTACGCCACTGTAGAGCATCAAAGCCAAATTGATGAAGTGGTGGAGGAGTTGAAAAGGCAGAATCCGAAGTGTAGTGAGCACGCCATGTCATGTTGGCTAGGGCATCCGTCTGGAGAGCACGTCCAGCTCACGGAGATGCGTTTTGCAGCTTGGGCAACTGACATTGTGAGTGCTTCTGTCTTGGAAGTGCACTGTACTCATCTCTTTTCATTCAGGTCAAGCAACTGTCACTTCCAGAAATGGAACGCACAGTGACCTATACCCATCCACCGAACAACCGGATGTTTGACGTACCTCCCTCGTTTCGTCATCAGCATGCCCCATCGGTGTCGAAGGCCCCTTCCACATCTATGCCTGTTCCTCCAATCATTATCAACATGCCTGAGATGTCTGGTTCTCACAAACATCTTATAGTATCTCCATCATCATCTGATCCTGTCAATCCTGCTGATGCTCCTTGGCCATCGCTCACCGACTTCCTTCTGCATGCAGTAACTGTAGACCGTCACAGTCGGAACTATCCTGCATATGAGCCAGGTCTTCGTCAAGCTGACCTTCTGGGCCCGGATGACATTGAGAAGTGTACGGAGGAGGAGCTGAAGAAGCATTGTGATATTCCCATTGGTGCTGGTCGATTCTTGATACATGAGGCTAAACTGGTTTGCAAGCAGATTCGACAACAGGCACAGATACCACAGAAGCGTTTCCGATTTGACTAGAGTACAACTTTTGAATTAGTCTCTACTTTATTGTATATATCCAGTATCTTTGAAGAACCCATATGCATCATCAGGAGTAATATGATCAAGTCCTTCCATCAGAAATACCCATGGATGTGCAGGGCCGTTGGTGCACCTCATGGCTGCATGTCCTTCAATGTAGTTTCGTCGTATCCATTCCTTCAGTTCATGGAACAGTTCTTCAATGGGCTGTAAGTCTGGAGAATATGGTGGTAGAAATATGTAGCGCATTCCACTATAACCCAACACAAAAGTGAATATAATATAGTGGGAGCTATAAACAACTGACCGTTCTACAATCATGTCCAAAGTCTCTTCGGAATGATGGATGCTCGCATTGTCAAGGAGAATGACACTATTTGGTGCAGGGAAAGGATTCATTCGGTCAAGTAATGTATGAATGAAGTGTCAGAATGTGATTGCATTGAATGATCCTTCAACAATGTTGACATGTAGTACACCATCGAGACTCAATGCGGGCAGAACAGAATATCTACACATACAAATCATTAGCTCATAAAATGTCCTTATCAGCATACACACCGAATACCACGTTCCAATGGCACTCTCTCAGAAGCCCGTACACCACTATAGGACCAGCCGAAGTTCCGCGTCATGTTACGAGTGTCCACCGCAGCCTCATCGACTGACACCAACTGGGCTGCATCATATTGCTGCACCGTATCAACAAAAAGTGCACGCCTTGCGTGGTCGCGTTCACGAGCAATCCGAGCAAGCTTAGATAGCACATGAATACATCCCGCATGTCAATAAGTGTCCAACTCACTCGTTTATGTGTAATGCCATTCCGATGAAGATACCGGCAAAGAGCAGCCAATGATATGTCTACATTTTGCAGCTCCAATTCTTCCTTCAACTCATCAAGATAGATGTTTGGCTGAATCTCGCAAACCTCCAGAATGAACTGCAGATCATTTTGAGATCAGTTCATGTCAATGTACAGCAAAACAACTCACCTCAACGTCGTCTCGGGTGAGTGCACGAGGCCGTCCGCTGCGAGTGGAAGTGTCATTGAAGGAGCCGGGTTCATGTTGTAGGGTGTGATAAACAGTTGATCGCGGGAGGGCTAGGAGGTACTCAATCTCTGAAGCAGCAAATCCAAGGTGAGCAAGATGTAAGACTCGTTCGTGAAGGTCGGCAGAATATTGCATACCAGGCATGCTGATCGCACAAGGGAAAGATTAGTGCATCGAGAGCAGTAATCGGGCTGCCGCGGTGCTCCGAGTTCACGGTTAGTCCTGATTTCTGCACAGGTGTCTGCGGGCAATTTTTGTCATTTGCACGCGACATATACTACATACACAAGTAGAGTAACGAATGAGATACAGCGATACCTTTGGTCGAACTTCGCGACGCGCGAAATTAAAAAAAAATCACGGGATTCTCACGACTTTTGCAAGCGACTGTAGAATCAACACCTGCAAGCGCGTTCGCTAACTGCTGCCAAACGAGCTCTTGCAAGTCAATGACCCGTGAGTTCTTCATAGCCTTGACACTGATGGGCGACTCTTGGTGTTCCAAAAGGCAGTTTAGAGTGAACTTGTCCTCGTCGTTTGCCATGTCCGATGCCATTGTCGATCGCGAAGGGTAGCTAGTCGATAGAGAGGATTGCGGCGGGCCCCTTTTTGGGCTGGGGTTCATGCATCAGTCGGGGAACTGGCGAGAGCTTTGTTTTATTTTCACCCACTTCCATCGCTATCGACCTGTTGAATGGCAAATGCCCCAGACGTACGAATGAGGGTGGCGGTGAGGTGCATTCCCCGCTCACGGCGGGGTACGACACCACTCCTAGTCCGTCATCCATATTAACAAAAGTCCTATGCGTTTATATACAATGAGTCTAGCGTGGAGTAGGGGCGGTGGAGTCGAGTACCGAGTATCCAGAATCTGTAACGTATGACTATGATAAATGCGCTTCGTATAACTCTATATGGAACATCGTAACGTTGTAATATCGTCCCAGGGTGTAAATATTGCGAGCGAGCGGCCACGATATGCGAGGGATGCGTATGATATCCAAGACATGCGTATATGCGTGCATCAATCCGAACCAGAGTCAAGAGCCAGAGTCAAGAGTCAAAGAGCGATAAGGACGCGAGGTGGAGATTGCAGCGACAATCCGGAAGCAAGATACGTAAGCAACGATCCTGGACGAGAGATATCGCGTGTGCAGTGTGGGGCGTATGACCAGGGGCGAGCAGGCGGCACGCGAGCAGAGATACGAGCACCCAGGAACCAGATCATCGCATCTCGATAGGCGGCTGCTCGTACTGGCGCTGGTCGTGATACGCCGGCGCAGGGGGCCCCAGCTTCTCGTCCCCCGCGTCCGCGGCAGCAGTCGCCTTCGTCGGGTCGCCAATCCCCGCGCGCGTGCCCCAGCCCGTCTGTGCACACGAATCAGCGAAACCCGGGAGAAATCACAGGGAAAACGGTACGAGAAACTGCGCACCTCGTGCAGCGTGAAGAGCGCGTAGAGCTTCATGATGGCGAAGTAGTACCCGAAGAGGATGAACGCGGGCACGTAGATGATGTCCTGCGGGCGGTACCATAGGTGGGGGAGCAGCTTCGCCGTGCGCGTCGCCGTCAGCCACACCGCATAACTAGCGATCACGTTCCTAGTACCGGCGTCAGCCTCAATGAGCGCGCGGCAGAGGTAAGAAGGGAGGTGGCGCTTACCACCAGGGCAGGTGATAACCGCCGTCCGCGACGGGTATCGTGCTCTTGTAGACGACGTACGCGACGAGGCACGGCCCGACGAGGAGCGTGAGCGGGTTGAACAGCTTGTCGACCTGGCGCGACGCATGTCACACGAGCACGCACGCAGAAAGCAGGGCGGGCTCACCATCGTGTACGCGACGTACGGGTGCGCGGTCCATATGTACCTCTCCGTAAAGAGCGAGCGCATATCCGAGCGCCACGTATTCCGCGTCCAGCGGAGCACCTGCTTGAGGAACCGCCAGTTCGGCTTCATCGTGCTCAGCAGCTCCGCCTCCCTGCAGCACTGCACGTACGTGCCCCACCCGTGGCTGACCATCCAGCGCGTGAGGAACTTGTCGTCCCCCGAGTTGAGCTGGTAGCGGCCGAGCCAGTAGTCGTGCGTGAACCCGTGCAGGAACGCGGGGTCCTTGAGAATGACGGTGCGGTACGCGGCGGTGCGCCCAGACAGGCACGGGATCCCGCCGTCGATGTGTGTGCTCGACGCGATCTCGATGTTGCGAATGCTGAGCCGGAACGCCGCAAGCACCTCCCAGACGGTCATGCGCGCGCCGACGGGCTGCACGCGCTGCGAGGTGCCGACGCCGCCGATGCGCTGGTCCTCGAAGCACGCGAGGACGTACGGGAGCAGCGTCGGCGGCCAGATCGCGTCGTCGTCCGCGAACACGATGATGTCCGTGGTCGTGTGCTTGATCCCGTGCGCCATCTGCAGCCGCTTGTTGGCGTACGGTACGGTGAGCACGCGGATGCGTGCCGGGTCGACCGCGTCCGCGAGCTCCTGCAGCGGGCCACGCATGTTCTCCTCGGTCACGATGATGATCTCCTTCGGGCTGCCCGCGAGCCAGCTGTGCGCGGCCTCCTTGAACTCGTCGCCGGCGTCGATAGTGGGCACGATGATGGTGACATCCTCGGACGCGATATAGGTCGGGTTCTCTGGGAGGGGGATGGGCCGGTAAACGAGCGAAGCTGCTATACGGATGAGGTACCAGAGATATCTGTAAAATCTGTAGGGCAATAAGTAAGCCGTTGGAAGGCGGTATACAATGCGGGAAAGAGAGCAAACATACCCAATGACTCCAAGGGGAACGACTGAGCGAAAAAATCAGTTCTGGGTGGCAAGGCGCATGCAGTGAAGCAGGAGACTCACAGATAGGAAAATGGTCAGACGTCAGGCGTAACATAACTCGACGGTCGTGCAGGCTCACGCAATGTAGCGGGGTCAGAGACAGGCAGAAAAAAGAGAGAGGAGCGGGTGGGTCGCCGCACACGCGGACGGGGAGGAGGACGTGGCAGTGAACAGTTGGAGAGTCAGCCAAGAGTTTCATTTGGTGTCGCGTGCGCCCATTTTACTGTCGACCGCGCGACACAGAGTGGCGGCGCCGAGATTGAAATACGATCGATATCCTCTGGCCATGGCCTCCTCTTGGCATTCCGTATCATCCTCCCCGCGTCTTTATCACCCAACAAAACTTGAACTCTGTCCTGCTCCACCTATAGCGGCCAATGTCTTCGCGTTTTGCGGTGCACAAATCTTCATCTCCGGAGCGCGAGGTTACCCAGACCCATTTGGGATGAGACTGATGCTTGCCGGGTGTTGAATAACTTCCATGTATTTGATTTAGGCTTCGAGGCCGTGCGGTACCGCTGACGGTACCGGCGCTGCACGTGATCATTTTGTCGCCTAAGACGTTCCTCGGTGTCCGCGGCAAGAACATTATCCCACCGTATGAATGCATTCACTCAAGGCGACGGCCCACACGCGAGCTGGACGATACGTGCATGGGCCGCGCGCAGGGCTGCCACGTCCAGTCTCCTCGCCGCAACTACCGCCCCACTTGGAGAGATGATCAACTTGGCCAGGCACCCGGAATTGAGATTGGGACGCCTCCATCGGTACACGCGATGAATGTCCGGCCCTTCTCCTCGAGATACGCGTCTTCTCTAAATGTTTTACATCACCGGAGTCCACTTAGAACAGCTGCGTGATGCATCGTGCCATGATCTGTTCCACCCATCGCCGCCCAGCTCCAGCAGCATGACTTCGGTCCCCATGGTACCGCCGGTCCCGCTGCGCGATTGCCGCCACGAGGAGGAAAGAGATCTGCCATCACCCACAAATCTTAGCCGGCGTAAAACTACGCGATGAGCGCACCTCCTGTGCGGCCAGCTATCTACACGTTCGTCGACGAGCATCATGCTGTATCGAGCAGTCCTGTTGTCGTGATTATCTCTGGAACACCAGCAAGCTACTCACTGATCTTCGTTGAGAACTTTGCGTGAGTATCATGGTTCATGTCCGTATTGTGTCGCCGAGAAGTGTTTTCAAATGTGGGATCGAGACAGGACCGCGCCAAGGGGGTGTATGCAGCGCATCCATATAGTGCAATCTCAGATACTACCTGTATATACGACACCAAGAACTTGTTCGTGCTCAGATATGCGAGGAATATCTCAGCACAAATGAGTTCTTGGTGTCCTTGACTCTTGACACTTGAATGCCATGGTAATCGGAGCAAATGGAAGGTTGTGAGAGTACTGTATCGCGAGATGGTAAGTATTAAATAATTCGCTTACGTTGGCAGGAACTTCACCGGCACGACGAGCATCCCTCGCAAACGTTCTGGGAGACACCTTCGCTCACCGGTCACCCTTCGATACCATCTGTAGACACTGGCCAGACAGCCGAATTCGCGACGTTGCATCCGTAGTACAGGATTCCAATGCGTTTCCACATGCCGAACGAGAATCTTGGTATGCTCGGTGACTTGGACAGATAGTCTACGTCCCAATTGTGTCCCGATATTAACATTGCGACCGTCTTGTCATGCCTCCGATGCAGGCGTTCGTTCATCATGAGTCAATGTCATAAGTACTCGACGTCCGAGTCCAGTGCTCCAGCTGCGGCAGCACGATTGAGGCAGTGCTTCGCCATCTGAGTTACAGGTCGGCCGCAGGTGCAGTTACGGGACGATAGATCTGATGCATATATACACATCGCGATGGTGTTCCAGTCCAAGCAGCATCGCCTTCGAAGAGTGTGGTTTCAAATGCGGGGAAGGAGCGCATCTACAGATACGGAACGGGGAAACCCGAAGGTGCGGGGACAAGTTGTGGAACTGCTCACGCGTATACGCGCGTACGCCTGAGTTGTCTCCACTTTTATTTACAGTCGGGATGCGTGCCGAGGGTGGTCCTCTGACAGCTTCGAGTTATATCTGACCATCAGCTGTATACATTATGCGTCTGTCATCGAATCGCGTTCGTAGACTCAGCATCCGCATCCGTATGTCCAATTGATTGAAGGGACATGATAAACTGCGAAATATTACGACAATAGCACTCGCCTATGCACTGAGAGAAACTCTAGTTCAACACATTATTTTCTAAGATACTGCCTACGTCCTCGCAATGCCAAAGTACAACGTTCAACCCTCTAGTCTACGTCCATCTCAGAGGGGCCATTAGGCTCCTCCTTCGCGCTTTCCTTTGCACCCTCCTTCGCACCCTCTGTCGCGCCCTCTGCAGCCGGCTCAGGGTTGGGGTTAGGTGTCTGTGTGCCACTCTTGGGTGTCTCAGCCGTAGGCTCCACCTTGGGCTTGGGCTTGGGCTTCGTAAGGATCGGCGTCGCGAAATAGATGATCTCATCCTTCTTCTTGAGCATCTCCGCGGCCGTAAGCACGGGCTCGACGTCCTTGGGGCGCTCCGTCTGGCGCACGAGCTGATCCTCGAGCCACTTCTGCACCGTCGCGCACTTCTCGACGATCGCCTGCTTGTCCTTCTCCTCGATGTGCGCGAAGCGTTCCTCGCCCGACGTCGCTTGCGCCATGTAGTTGTTGATCGTCTCCCGCAGCTGCGCGACGACCCGCGTACGGTCCTCCGCCTCGCGGTACCGGAACGTGATCGGGTCGCCGAGCACTTTGAGCGCGTCCAGCCGCTCGACGTACGCCGACTTGTTCGCATCCTCGCCCTCTTCGCTGTACAACCAGTCCTCTGCGTGCTGCAGTGCGGCGAGCAGCTGTTCCTTCTCCGCCGCCTGTACGTACGGTGCGTAGCGCTCATCTAAGCGCGCCCGCGTGTCGTAAACGTACTCCTCCAGCGCATTTTTGCGGTCCTACGGACACGTTAGTAAATTGATGCAGCGACGTTGAGGAGACGCCACGCACCTCGGTGTCCATCACGAGCTTGTCGGCGGCATGCATCTGCGCCTCCTGCTCCTTGTACTTCTCGAGCACGCTCGCCTCCAGACTCGACGAGCCCCACACGAATGGCACTTCGATCTTCTTCTTGACCACTTTCTTCTTCTTGGATGGCGCAGCCTCGCCCTCGGGCGCGTCAACCTGCATCGCATCATTCTTGTCCTCCCTCTCCTCCTCGACCTCGACGAACGCCTGCTCGAATGACATCACACCATGCACGTTGAGGCGCGTCCTGACGCGCACGCATGTGAAGTCGCCCTTGTCGTCCGGCGCTACGTTCTTCGCAGAGAAGCTCGCGATCCACGGGTTGATACCGCCAGGGAGCGCAGCAGGCTCCGCATAGCGCGCCTCGAGGTCGAACGGCTGCCTGCGGTAGAATGTGAGCACCTTCGTGGACGGGATCGGGTTCCCATGGGGGAACACGACGAGCTCCGTGTCCTCGTCCGTGTCGTCCGGCTGAGGCTGCCACTGCACCTTGATCGAATACGGCGTGATGTCGTGCATGCTGAAGTCGCGCACGCGGAAGACGGGCGAGAGCATCGCGCACGCGAACGTCGCGCCGCGCGCGGCCGCCTCGTCTTGGTTGAGCGTCGTCGAGAGCGCCTTGCCCGGGAACACACTCTGGATCTTCGCGCGCACCGCGGGGATGCGCGTGCCCCCGCCGACGAGCTCGATCGCGTCGATCTGTTCCAGCGACAGCCCGGACTCGGTAAGCGCCTGCTGCATCGGTAGCGGAAGGCGGTCCAGTACGCCTGCGATTAACCCCTCGTACTCGTCTCGATTGAGCCGGCTCGAAGCGTCCACGTCGTTCATGATTGACTCGACGTTGAGGGGCGACTCCGCGTTCGCAGAGAGCACCTTCTTCACACGGTCGCACCCCGCCGCGAGGCGGAACATCGCCTTCGGGCTCGAGAGCACGTCAATCTTGTACTTTGTCTTGAACTCGGCGGCGAAGTGCTGGACGAGCGCGTAGTCGATGTCGCGCCCGCCGACGTGCCGTTCGTATGCGGTGCTCTTGACCGTCAGCTGCCCCTTGGAGAACGCGACGACGGCGACGGAGGTACTCGAGTGACCGACGTCGACGAAGACGACGTTCCGCGGGTTCTCGGGCTCGGGTAAGTCCGACTTGGTGATGCCGTACCCGAGCGCGACAGCGGTGGTATCGTTGATGAGGCGCAGTACGTTCAGCCCCGCAATCTGCGCCGCGTCGAGCACCGCGCGTCGCTGGATGTCGGTGTACCAGCCCGGCACGGCGATCACGATGTCGGTCACGCCCGTCTTGAGCTCGTTCGCGGCGATGTCTCGTAGCTTGCCTAGGTACATCCCGACGAGCTGCGTCACGGTGAACGTCCGCTGCTCTCCCAGATAGTTTACCTGTGCGCGTTTCATCACTCGGCTGCAGGAAAACAGAAAGGGAGAACATACCTGTGCGCCGAGCGTTCCTCCTACATCGACCAAGTTGACATGCGTGAACTTCTTCTCTACCTCCTCGATCTCAGGATCGTGTACTGTACGACCGACGAGCCGCTTCAGGGAGCCAATCGTGTTGCGGAAGTTGGATGTTTCGAGTGTCTTTGCAGCCTCTCCGATAGCTCGTTGTTTTGGGCCGAACGAGACGAGAGAGCTAGAAATCGGGGGCAGTATTTCAGCGGGCAGCGTATAATGTGGAGCAAAGCAGACGCACGGCGTCGCACGATTTGAGACTTCATTTACGATGATATCGATACCTCTGTGTCTGGCCACGCCAATCTAGAAACACGAGAAATATAAATGAGCACGAGTGTGCAACCGCCGCCTCGATCTGGGCGCATCGCTCACCTTGCTGTGAAGCGAGCCAAAGTCAACGCCGACGACGGCCATGGTGTTCGAACGAGACGAAGAGAAAAGACGAGGAACGAGTCTGCAGCCGCAACGGTGAAGTAAGTATGGAGGCGGCTTTTTACGCGCCCAAAATTTGAGGCGTAGGCGTGACTTTTTCGGGGACCTTCTCGTATGTTCCATTGGTACTACTTATCGCTAGAACAAGCCACTCTGCGGTCTCTACCCATCAAATGATCAACTCCATGCGCAGAAAACGCGGTCCAAACGTGTTGGCAGCCGGGTGCTCGACGAGTGCAAGCCCGGAGTCGATGCCGTTCATGACCATTCTTGGGGAAGACGATCTCACACGTAGATGTTACCGCATAAACGCGTACAGTAATACTGTTCTGAGGAATTCTTCAGACCCACTCTGCTGTGTGAACATCACTTAAAGGAACATCGCCAATAACCAAGGTTAACATGTGGTCACGATGAAATCTGTACAAAGGTACTATCGATGATCCGAAAGTGCCATAATATGGCACTTCTGGTCCCGCCATACACCTCCTTGCTCAATTGTCTTCGGCACTTCAGATATTGTTTCTGTAGCATATAGAATACTATAAATTATTTTTTTCGGATTTTTCTGAGTAGTGTTGAACATTTTGGAGACATGTCGAGGTGTGGCAGCAGCCAAATACATTCCAGCAATCTTGATTTTTGTGGGACCCAAGTGGGCCACATTTAATTCTCAAAAGTTTACAGTGTTGAAGTGCAATGTATGAGAGCATCTCCGAATAATTTTGAGGCAATCGGTGCAGAGGATCAAACTGTAGAAAAAAGTATGGCACTTCTGGGCCATACACTGGGGGCAAAAGTGGATGTTCTGCCTTGGAACAGTGTCTGAACATCCAAGGAACAGATTACATTTTTGGACATGTCACATGTTCTGAACATGGTAAGGAACATCTAATATGTCTCGCACAATGTTCCATTGGAGAGCATGCTGGAGACATGTTGCATGTACCATTCTGGAACATATAATATGTCTCACACAATGTCTCATTGGAGAATGTCCTGCAGACTTGCTGCATGTTTCATTCAGGAACATTTATCATTTTGCTACTATATTCTGGGCTTGTCTCTTGATGCAATATGCTCTGTATAATAAGGATTTTCCATGGCCAAACACATTACATTTCTGGCTGCCATTAATTTTCAGAACATTGTGAGAAGATGTTAGGTGCTCCTACTCCAAACATATAAGATGTCCTGGGCACCAAGAACATTTGCAGTACATGTATGATACATACTAAAATTTTACTAAAATTTTACATGTACTGCAAATGTTCTTGGTGCCCAGGACATCTTATATGTTTGGAGTAGGAGCACCTAACATCTTCTCACAATGTTCTGAAAATTAATGGCAGCCAGAAATGTAATGTGTTTGGCCATGGAAAATCCTTATTATACAGAGCATATTGCATCAAGAGACAAGCCCAGAATATAGTAGCAAAATGATAAATGTTCCTGAATGAAACATGCAGCAAGTCTGCAGGACATTCTCCAATGAGACATTGTGTGAGACATATTATATGTTCCAGAATGGTACATGCAACATGTCTCCAGCATGCTCTCCAATGGAACATTGTGCGAGACATATTAGATGTTCCTTACCATGTTCAGAACATGTGACATGTCCAAAAATGTAATCTGTTCCTTGGATGTTCAGACACTGTTCCAAGGCAGAACATCCACTTTTGCCTCCAGTGATATGGCATATCTGGGTCACTGATAGTACACTCATGTCCCTGAGCTGTGGTGGTCACCACGCTTGGCCGGTGACCGACCCGTGGTACCTTCCCACGCGCGGGCCGGTGCCCCTCGGTATATGCCGCTGGTGACCTTAACACGCCGTGTATGCTGTGCCACCCGTTCGGGCAGTAGATGCTGGATCCAGCAACAGTTGCCAATCTCAATTCGCCGCCAGCCGCCTCTTTGCACGCGCGGCGCGTTCGCTGCGTTGCGTGGCACGCGGTGTGCAGTGCCATGTCGTCGCGGCCCCCTTCGCGAAACCGAGACCGAGAGAGAACACGAGGCGCCAAGTCCGATGACGAGCTCACCGCTCACTGTCGGCTGGCATGCCGCGCGGTGCCTGCGTGATGCCCTCCGACCGCCCAACTCAAACTACTCGGACGTGCTTTCACCACGCGCCAGGTCCGCCGCCCGAGATGCGGTGGGCCTTGCACATCGAGCGCGCAGCAGCAGCAGCAGCAGCAGCAGCAACACTGCGCTTGCTTGCGTGTGCGGCATTCTTGCACGCCCGAACTTTGAGTTGCGGTGAATACACCGACTACCTGTCTACCGCGTGCGTGGCATGCCGACCCGTCGATGTGGCGACATGCACAAAATATATTTTGTATTGACCTGCCCCCCCCAGCACACACAGTCAACATGATCATGAATCTCAGGGTGGGCGTGGCCTGCAAATCGTAAATCCGCAACAAGTTTCCATGCGGGGTTCGAACAGCGGTAGACCGCGAGGACACGATGGCGATGGCGACGATGCAGTGGAGCTGGCAGCACTACTGAGTGGGTGCATCTGCTCCTCTCGGTCATGCAAAACCAAAAATTCTGGGCCCTCGTTGAGGTTTCCAAAACATGTACATTAAATTGTGTTTCATATACACAGGTGAAGCAGTACCGTAAATTAGGACGTGGAGCCATCAGTACCATATAGCATGAAGCGACAAGAAGACAGAGACTGAAAAATTAACCAGAATATGAAGTTGGCTTCACGTCGCACTACAGATAGTGTGTTGCAACTTGGAGCACCTCACGGTGACCCGCACCCCCATGCTTGGTGAGGTAGTCGGCGAACGAGCGCGCCCTGTAGTGGCCATACTTCTCATTGAAGAACCGAAGCACCACTGGATCGACCAGCGTGGCTTCTGCGAAAGCTCCGTGATGAGGTCGATGATCTTTTTGCAGCGCCCGCCTTCGGTCTTGAGTCTTGCATCGTTGAGATGCCAGCAGTTGCCCCACTTCTCCGTCAGTTCACGCACCGAGATATGTCCACTGAGCCTGTCCGTCCACTCCGTCCACTCCGTCCAGACATCCACGATCGCATTCACTGGCTGGTACCGATAGCATGGAAGAAGCTCACCCTGCTTCCAAACCCACGGCTCATGCTTCTGGAAGACGACTTCACCATACTTCTGCCGGAGCTCATCCCGCCTGGCCAAGTGTGGATCTGCACGAGCGGGTGCCACAGAAGGCGCTACCATCCCCGACACTGATGGCAGTGCAGGCACAGCAGCGACATGGTGACTGGAGCCATCCAACGTGGCAGTCGAGTCGGACGATGCTGCACCGTTCGCTATGGCACTGACCGATGTGGAGACCGAAGGCACTGCGGAAGTGCTTACAGGCCCGTCACTGCCGTGGAAGTTGATTGTGATGACTGGCGGGGCTGCTGCTGCAGGCATTGGTGCAGGGGCTGTCACCGGGGCCGCCGGACTTTGCTTGGGAGGCACGAAAGCTGTCATTGACAATCACATTGTTGTCAGCACTGCACGTGTGATGACGGAAAACCGGCGCATACTTATCTTGGACCTTCGAGTGGACCTGGAGTTCAGGAGCGTGCCGATCATGCCCTCCATCTTGAGGATCCGCTCTGAAATGTCGGACATCTGCCTGTTGCTCTCTTCGTGCTGCCTCTTTTGCTCCATGAGCACATCGGTGGTGGCACCACACAGGCTGCGTATCAGGTGCTCGGGGAGATTCTGATAGGCCATGCGGGCCTGCTCCTCGGCTTCCTGGATGGCGGGCATTGCCTGGCTGGCGAAGGTATGAAAGGCGGGAGTGTTGAAGGGTGCAAATGCAAACACAGGGGCAGAGGGCTGCATCGCGCACAGGATCATCGCGTCCTGCAGCAGCACCCGGCGCAACCACAGCATGAGCCGGAGGAAGTGGCGAAGGGCGTAGTCCTGAGCCAATGGGTTGTCTTGAATGCGTGTCTCGAGGGCAGCCTGCTCTTGCTCGATCCACGGGAACACTTGTGCGAGGAGTTCGGATGGTGGCTCTGTCAATCATGTGGGTTTGTCAGCACTCCGAGGTATGCACGCAGCATGGCCACTCACTGAGAGCATCACGCGGGAGCGAATACATTTCAGGCTTGTGGCCATTGAACATCGCAGCACCGAGGAGGGCATCGACAGGGAAGGTCCACTCATAGCACTGGTGAAAGGAGCCATTTTTGTTCCATCCGCCGAGCACTTTCGTCCCGCTGACCGTGGCACCGTGCGCACACACCGTCTGTGCGGCATAAGCCCTGCCGGCATGCGTGACCTTCGTGATCGAGATGTTGTTCTCCTCGTGAATACCCCGCAGCCGGTCGCAGTGATCTGGAGATGGGCACTGGATTAGGTGTGCTGTATCAATGAAGAAGAGGTCAGGGCACTCACTGTCATATGACATAGCTGCTGTCGGTTGTTTTCCCCAGAAGACGTGATAGCCATATCAGTCGCAGCGGCCGTACTTACCACATGCATTGTCCTCAAAGTCCGGGAGCAGGTTAGGGAGTGGCAGGTGAAGGACATGGAAGAACCCGAAGAAGAGAAATGCCAGTGCCCTGACTGGGCACAGCTCGACTTCGCGGTGACGGATGGCTCCATGCTCATCCAGGCGGCCCTGCTGATTATGCTTAGCATTGTCTGCCAGTGCAGCGAGCACCTGCAAAGCACACCGTGAGCCACTGAGGCATCGTCCGCACCCTCTTCACTCATCGGGACTCTGTACCCAAGGCGGACATCATCCATGAGGATGGACAACAGAAAGAGGTCCGACCACTCGAGGATGCGTGAGCTTTCCCCGCGGAAAGCCATCGTGGATGAAAGGAGGAGCATCGCACGGTCATGCAGGCCGATCCAGATCGACTTGACACCCGACACGTCCGTCAGGCACCAAATTGAGCACCTCTTCAGCTCGTCGGGCGTGTAAGTGTCTGGAAGGTGGGAGCGTCAGTCGAATTGTGCAGCAGCAGGGCAGGGGGAGTGCGACACTTACCCCCAGAGCTCCCCACGGCCTTCAAGGCCTGTGCCTTCTCTATGTGTTTCGGCTCCTGGTGCTTGGCCGATAACTCTGCAGTGCGGATGCGGATGTCAGTGCGCAACGACATCTGCGCATCGGGGGCATCCTTGTACAGGTAGGCGTTGTTGCGACGCCAGCTCTCGAGCGTATTGATGACCTGCGAGATGTGAGATTTGCCCACGTTCGACCCCGTGATGGTCTCGTTCTTGCCCTGGCGGTGCTGTAACGAGGTGTGTGTCAGCGGGAGAGCAGTGGCATGGCATGGCGCAGAGGAGTGCTGCCATACCTTTTCGCGTGTCATCTCATACTCCAGGAAGAAGGAGGCCTTGAGGGCGGTGACAGGGAACGCCGGAACAGGCACTTCCCCCGGTGCGCGCTGGCAGCGCTTGGCCTGGAACATCGCCCAGTACATCGTGTAGTTCTTCACATGGCGGTCATAGCTTGAACCGGTCTGGTTGTCATCTTGATCCAACTGCACCTTTTTGATGCATGTGTTGTGAGACTCGAGCTCCAGCCGGGCGAGCGAGTGCCACAGCGAGCCTGCGGCTGCCACAGCTGCTGGAGGGTTCATCGGAGGTTGCCAGGCGGGCTCCCGTGCTGAGGCCGGACCGTAGCTCGAAGTGGGAGGGTACACGAAGCCCTCGCGACTCATGTGAGCAGGCCTGACACCTCAGGCATGAGTGTGGGGGCCCGCGGTGGCTCATAGTGCACATAAGTCGAAGCAACGGCAGGCACGAGGCCACCCGCCGCCAGCTTGCTGCCCGCAATGGCACCATCGTCAGTGGAGTGCTGTCCGACGAGATCGCCAGCATCATCTTCCCGCCACCGCTTCTTCGAGATCGGCAGTGGTGGCGAGTCATAGGAGACCATTCAAAATTGTTCTTGCTGTGTCGACCGGCCCATGGTGTGACCCAGGTGGTGATGAGGACGGCGAGACGAGCTGAAAGAGGCTGCACGAGCAGCGAGATGTCACGCGGAGGGTGCTGTGCCAAAGGCAGGCACCACAAATCGAGCTGCATGTTGCTCTGTTCCGCTGGCAAACACCTTCGGTGTGCCGCTGCCGCAGAAGGATGGCTGGTGGTGATGAGGTCTGACCGAAAAAAATGTGTGTGGGTCAGCATGGAGTATAAACCAGAAATCACGGAGCAAGGGCGGCCGGCCTCAGCATCGCGGACACATCACGAACAGGCCCATTCGAATGTCGTGTGATCGCTCCAAGGGGCCGCATATATGGCGGCAGACAGAGAGGACTGCGAAAAAAAAGGAAGGACACTCACCAGAGATGGCACGCGGATGCAGATGTGCGCCGTTGGAGTGCACAAGCAAGATGGGGTCGGGCCTTTGTTTTACAGGGAGGATGGTGGTGGACCCACAGTAGCGGTGGGAAGAGGCCGCGATCAGAAACATGAGGGCGGCGGGGCACGATCGGAGTGGGACAGGGCAAGGGTCGCGACGTGAAACTACATGAGGTGCGCCGTGAACAGTTGGCGTGGGACGGATGGCAGAGAGAAAAAAAAATGTATTAGATTCTTGTGTATGTTACAGCGGTGAGCAGCCGGCGTTGCGGGCGACCACGAGTGAACGAGTTGCACTCCGTCCTCATCCTCTTCAAGTGTGGGGCAGAAGGAGATTCTTTAAAATAAAAAAGCGAAGAAAGGAAGTAAAAATTTCGAGTAGGATACACACAGGAAGAAGAAGAGTGGCCGCACGGCAGGGCAGGCTGTGACAACAAGCCTAGTGAGGCGGAGGTGGCATGTCCGCTTTTTTCGCGTGTTTTCTCATTCACGTTCGGGGAGGGCACGACAGCGGTGGGGCCGCAACATGCAGGGCGAGAGTGACCGCGATGCAGTCAGCACGATGAGCTCAGGTGCGGGGCTTGCTGGCTGGCATGCGGGGCACGAGGGCCAGTGCGGGCGCAGGACGCGTTTGTTCGTTTGTTCATTCACTGCCTGGGGGTGGGCCAGCTGGTGAGGGACGCACGCGGGCCAGGGTAGCACTGCGGGGGTGTGGGGGCGACGGCGGTGGGGTGGCGGTGGCAGTGGCAGCAGGCGACGACGACGAACGTCGGGCTAGGTGCCCGCGAGCCGCCCGCCACACCACGCGCACTCTGGCTGGCTGCCGTGCCGGGTTCACCTGAGCGTGCTTGTGGGCCTTTAGGGGTAGGGTTCCATGCAGCCGAGTCCTGACGACCGGCGTGTACAGGGCTGGTGACCCTTTGATTCCTTTTACGGGGGGTCACCACCGTGGTCACCAGGGTGGAGCGGTGACCCGTAATATACTCTATGCACAAGGACACTGGTGTATATCCAAGGAGGTACATCCAATCATTGGTTCTTTTTGAGTCCATGCAAAGTTGCTTTTTCTACCCTACCCATTACTCGAGTCTAATAAATGTGTTGATTATGGGCAGTCTAACTATATGTGTAGCGGTACTAGGACCTAACTGAGTTTGAACTGACTTACCACTTTTGCTTACAGGTGACTCGACCAAACAGTCAGCCACCCGAGCGCCAGAGGCCAGCACGAAAGGAACTTCTAGCCCGAGGACTCGTCTAGCAAGAATGCACGGCGTGATGGAGAAGAAAAATGCTCTATCGAAGGCGAAGTGTCCTGTAGGCCGACCTAAAGGAAGCAAGAACAAGCCCAATGCAGGAACCAAGGGAAACCTTGTAGGGAGGCCTAGGAAGGATAGAGAGGCTGGAGCAAGCTTGTGCAGTGAACAGCGGAGTGTGACAGGTCAGTCTTCGAAAGATTACAGTCCATATCTCATCGTTTCCGAACAATGTCTCGCAGGCAGCACGGCAGAGTTGCGAGAGTGCGAGGAAAATTCGCTAAGTCGCAATGTGAGAGGCATGCGATTATCCGGTGAGCGAATGTGCATTCAGTTTCGATCTGAATAATATCTTCTAATATGAAGACTGGTTTTTGTGTGCAGATGATGTGAGAAATTCGCAGGTAGCCACACAAATTGAGAATATTGTGGTCATAGATGCAGCCGGTGAGTGTATGGGCTAATATCTTATGTGACCTTTCTGACTGGTGTTTTCAAATTACAGGTAAGAATAATGACGAGCACTACACTAGTGTACAACAGACGATGGATGCGGACATGCCTGGTGACTCGGTATCGGGGGATGGTGAGTTCCGGAATTCACTAAATGGTTTACTGGCTGACGGCACTGCAATGACAGATTCGGTCTCACACGAGCAATGTCCTCGCTTTTCGCTGTTTGCTGGTTTCCAGCTGGTCGAGGACGTCCAACCAGAATTCTCCTATTCCGTTCCGGATGATGATCCAGGTACATACATCATTCTTTCCATACTTTCTGGCCTGATGCATGTAAACACCCCAGCTTCTTTCCTTCCATTTGATAGTCATAGTGAAGATGAGGCACAAGACAATTTTGACGATTTTTGTGAGGACCTTCGTCCAGCTCCGGATGACGAAGAGACTGCATCTGGCTCCTCGGATGGTGTTGTTCCTGAGGATCACGCTTCTGCATCTGTCAGCACAGATGATATGCGCAAGCAAACTCGTATCCCACGCTCATCAATTCCAACTTGGCTAGCGAAGCTTTATGCCGACACCTGTGAGCAGCTTCGAAATGAGATGCGCAAGAATGTATCTAGAAGGCCATCTTGCTATGACACGGGGAGCTTTATGATGGGGCAGAAAGCACCGATCTTTGCCTTGGCGAAAGTTTTCCAACTCCGGCCAGCAATGTTCTATGAGCCACAGTTTTTTGTTTGGCTTCCTCATTTATTCGTCAAGATAGTTTGTCCTGCATGTAAAGCTGCTGGCCATAGGCGTCCCAATGGCGACATGATCACTCTTCGTTTGTCATTGTGGATGCAATCACCCCATCACATTGTTGATATCAAGTACAATATCTATGTCATTGGCTACCGATACTACTGCGGTCATGCTGAGTGCAGAAAGGCATATCAGAGTTGGTCCCCGGCAATTCTACAGATGCTTCCTCCAGTCCTCGCATCACAGTTCCATTTTCATCTAACCTATCGTGCTGGACTTACCGACCGCCTTACTGCTATCCTGCGGGCATCGTTTCAAAGAGGCTTGGGCCCACATCCATTCACGGAGATGATTCGAACTTTCCATGTTTGTTATTATGAGCGACTCTATATTCAATACCTTGAATTGGTCAAATTACGTCTCAATTCAACAATTTCATCGCTGCTCCTTCTGCATGAACGATTTGGTGCATAGGATGACCCGGATGGGTATGCTGGTTATGTTCCATCTGCACAATACTTTGGTGGCTTTTACAACCTGATGATCGAGAAACACGCTACCGAAATTGACCAGTATACTGCCATGTTGTCTGCAAGGGTCCTTTGCATTGACCATAGCCACAAGGTAAATTCTTTCTTAATATTCTCTAATTTACATGTGCTGAGAAGAAGTACAGGTGCCCAAACATCTAGGGCAGGTTAATGGAGAGGCCGTGTTTGGCGCTCTTCACACAGTGGTGAATGAGTATGGTGAATGTCGAGCAATGACTCTTATGCCAACGAAGGCCCACGATCAGTTTATGCCTGCACTGGCTCGCATTCCACACTCACTGCGTCAATATGGACATGGTGATGTCGAGCTTATATTTACCGACAATGTTCGCAGTGACAAAGCTGAGCTTGAGCACGTCTTCCCATCTCTACTGCAGAATGTCTCGGCGGTTCCAAGTTCAACATTACCTCAGCTTACAATTCCGACTCAGTGGTCAATCTCTATCTTGGCATCCACGTTTCAAATCAATAGTCGTATTAATGCAATCCTAGAGGATCTGAATGAACTCCCAAACAATGATATGATATCCTTGACTATGGATATGGAGTGGTCTGTTGATCGTGTCAATGGGATCCAGGGAAGGGTGGCCCTTATTTCAATTGCATATAACCAAGCTATTTATCTTATTCCAGTGAGTACTCAACTGAAGGTTACTGACAAAAGCCTTACGACTGTTGCCAGGTATCGGAGTATCTCCGAAATGGCTTCTTGCACCTTCCTCACACAATCCTTGTTTTGCTGCGCAGTCCACGTGTCAAGAAGATTGAAGTTCACATTGGTGCAGATATGACACGCCTTTTCAAGGACTGTGGTTTCAATGAACGAGACACTACTCAATTTGTCGGAGCTGTCGAACTTGGAAAGATGGCAAAGGATCGAAATGCGACCAGCTGAGCCAATATTGGGCTTGCGGATCTCACGTCATGTCTCCTACGATGATATCTTCCAAAGGATGAGTCAATTCGGGTCAGCACTGCCTGGGATAGTGTCACACTCTCTGATTCCCAGATACAATATGCTGCATTAGATGTCTATGCAGCATGGGCAATATTCGAAACATTCCTAGCAATTCCAGTGGAACAGGTCGTCTCAGATAACACACCTGCAGGAACGCCAGTGAAGCTGATGTCACATGATCGATCCTCTATTGTTGCTTATGGTTTTATCGCTCCCGACCGACTGGTGAAATTTCAAGGTGTCAATGTGTAACGGGTCGGTTCTGACGACCGTTACTCATTATGGACTGCTTACTACTTACCTAAGAAGTTGCTTTATATCCTTTACACTCATCATCTAGCTGTACCTACACTCAGTCTTAGCTACCTTTGGCTATATATTGAGTCCACTGCAGCCCTGGTGAGCCTAAGGATCTAGGCTCTTTACACAATGTGACAAAGACTTGTGTAATTGTCAATGTCACCTCTGTTCTCCAGCCAAGTTATCTGGTTCGTGCAGATCTACTGAAGTCCAAGCAGGAAATGGCAATATCGGACGTTGGTATCACAATACCGTTCAGTCTCTTGTGTAACACTCGTGACCTTCAGTCCTTCATTGGTGGTCAAACTCCTACACATCTCAATCCTCTCACATCACTTTCTCCTGACCCATTCCCTCTATTAGAGACATCCTACTCTGCTATGACTGACTGAGAAGTAGCAACAGGATTGCAAATTGTAAGCCCAGATCTGGATTCACAAGATGATTGGGATGGCGAAGATCAGAAGCTGGCTGACAGCACTCCTGACACCCGAAGTGCCTTGCATGCTGAGGCGCTCACTGTGGACACATCGGAACAACTTACATATGAGGATTCGGCCATTCGCTCTCATGTTTTGGGAGATATATGGCATCTCATGGATCAGATCAAGGTCCCTCTCCATCATGGCTTATGACGTCCATTTACTCGTGCATTGCATGATGCACTCCTTATGCCTGATCCAGAGGACAAGGCTGCGATAGAGGAGGTTCTCAAGCAAAAAATGCCACCACTCACTTGGAACCAGGCCCTGCTTCGAGAATCTGACTGAATTTGGCAGCGTGTCAAGCGATTTGTTCCGCGACTGGATGTTCTGGCGCAGCGCATTGCTGAGGTATTTCATGTCTATGGACCATTAACTGATGCAACAACAGGACAACCACTTTTCAGTGATGCAGTGTGGGACAAGGTGAACAATATCTTGGAGAACATCAGGCTTGGCTACTACTCTGATCCACCAGGTGTTCAGTTGTATACCATTGAACGGAAGGACAAGGATGGACTTGCCATTTATAGGTGTATGCGAGGCACAAACAATGTCAAGGGTGGCGTACATCAGAACATCGCCAAGCGGTTCGGTTCATACAATGCATCACCTCAATTTGCAGTTAACCTACTCCGCGACTATGTTCTGTGTCATAATTTGAAAGTACGTGATTTTCAAAGATTGGGTGGACTGGGTCTTGTGGTGTTGACTACTCTCCAGGTCAGAATGCACAGTCGTACAGGACGACAGTACTCTGGTTCATTTGACATATGGACTCAAAATTGTATTGCATGGCTTGTAGACCAGACACTTGATGGCTTTGCAGTCACGTCCAATGAAGTTTTGCTTGGTGGGTGGGTGAATGGTAATGACTATGTGCCATTCACAGAGTCATTTGGTATTCTTTCACTCTCTGAGACATCTCGAGAGCAGCTTGGCATGCTTATGTATCACCTGGAGTTCGCTCATCACATAGATGCTCGACATACTCACCTGGCGAAGCAACAACAGATGCGCTGTGCTATCCTTCCCATCCACACACCAGAGGAACGAGCCTTGTTTCGCATGCTCATGAAGCAGGGAGTGGGACAGACTGCCGGAAGGAGTCAGCCGAACTGGATTGTGTTCGCTATTGAGTGGTCAAGGCATGGCAACGGGTTGCAGATCTTCTACAAGGCAAGTCGAAGTTGGATAACTCCATATCCACCATGCAGTACTGATTTACTCACAGCTTCCGGAACACCTGAAGAATTACTACAAGCTGTGGAGTGAAAATCAGAATGAGGAGAATTCGATTGAGCAACAACGAGCTGTGTATGAACAAATCCAAAGCCTTCTGATCCCACAGGTCAATCGAGTGCCGCGCATCCTGACGCACACACAAGAAACTCTTGCAAAACTCTTGCAAAAGAAATCAACGCCGGCAAGCGAGTTTCTGCCATGCCAGAAGAAGACAGAGAACTATCCACTTGGCATGTCAGAATATTACTCGGTTGGCACAGTCTCAGACAGTCAGCACTCCAGTTTGAATATGGTGAAGCACCACCGTCTATGTTGGCCACAGATACAAGAGGTGAAAAGTGTCATCAAGATCACAGCACCGCATCGGACAATGCCTCTGCTGTCAAATGACGGGCACCACGAAGATGTATGGTATGCCGTTGTGAAGACTGTCCCGGCAAGTTCCTGTCCAAACTATGTATCTATTTTCCAGAAGCAGTGAGTAATCTAGTCTTTCTCCTTTCGTTTGCATGCTGAGTGGTTCTCACACACTGAAGAATGCTGTCCGCCGCACTCCTGCTGCTCAGCAGCCCGTCGACTTCTATCAGAACTTCACCCCAAATTCCATCCTGATATTGGCCCCCCTAATGACTGTCTATCCCTATCCCCGCGCCATGTCCACAACAACCTCATTGCACAAGAGGAACAAGGTGCAATAACCTTCAATCTCTCTGTAACCAGTACTGATGATCTGGAACCCAACTTCTGCATCTTCTCTGACCCTAACTCACACTGTACCGACCCGGCATCTCGCTGTCATGAACCTCTCCTTCCACTTGTTGAACCTGTCACAGTATACACTGATGGCTCTGCCATTCACAATGGCGACGACAATGCCCAGGCCGGCAGCGGCCTTTGGTTTGGTCACAACAACCCCCAAAACTGCTCAATTTGCATCTCAAGCCTTCCCCAGTCCAATCAAACTGGAGAAATCGCTGCTATCCTTAAAGCTACACAGCTAGTCAACCACTTTGCCCCTCTCCACATTGTTAGTGACTCTAAATATGCCATTGATGGGCTAACAAAACACCTCCCTAAATGGGAAGCCAGAGGATGGATTGGAGTATCTAACAAACAACTCTTCCAAGCCACTGCCGCTCGCCTTCGTGAATGCGGTGCCATTACCACCTTCCGATGGACTAAGGGCCACAATGGTGACATTGGGAATGAAGAAGCGGACCTTCTTGCCTCTGCAGGGGCGCAAAAAATGCTACCAGACCCACTAGACACCATAATTAAACCCACCTTCCATCTATCTGGTGCACAAATCTCAACTCTTACACAACGACTGGCCTACCAAGGCCTGCGTGAACAAATCCCCCTACTACCCCGCAACTCGACATTAATCAATCTGGACATCATGCGTTATGCTATCCAAGCCTGTACTGACCGTCTACCCACAGATGCCACAATCTGGCACTCTATTCGCTCCAAGGACATCACAAGGAAAATATGTGACTTTCTTTGGAAAGCACTACACAACGCCCATCGCTGTGGAGCCTGGTGGGAACACATCTCTAATTTTGCCCACCGATCTATCTGTACCACCTGTGATATAACTGACTCCATGGATCACATCCTTACCAAATGTAATGCCCCTGGTCAATCAATTATCTGGTCCCTCGCAAAAAAACTCTGGCTAAAAAAACACCACACATGGCTGCAAATCCAATTCGGAACCATCCTTGGCTGCGGCCTCATTGCGTTCAAATCAACATCTGGTAAGAAACTACCCGGAACCAGCCGCCTCTTCCGCATTCTCATCTCTGAATCTGCACACCTAATTTGGTGTCTTCACTGTGAACGTGTCATCGACAGAGGGAACGATAAGGAAACATGGCATTCAATGCCAGAAATAACACGACGTTGGACTAACATCATTAATAAATGTTTGGAACT